AATGGAGATCACATGGAGGGTTATCAGTGGGGAGGGGGAGGGGAGAGAATGGGGAAAAAGGTACAGTGAGTAAGAAGCATAAATGGTAGGTACAAAATGTACAGGGGGAGGTTAAGAATAGTATGGGAAATGGAGAAGCCAGAGAAGTTGTATGTACGACCCACGGACATGAACTAAGGGGGAGAATGCTGGTGGGGAGGGTGCAGTGTGAGGGAATAAAGGGGAGAAAAAAATGGACAATTGTAATAGCATAATAAAAAATATATATTTACAAAAATAAATAAAAGACATCAAAAAGGATATATTCCTGACACAAAAATACCTAGGTTTGGGGGCTGGGATGGGAGTAAAAGACAGAAAACTGTACTTGAACAATAATTAAGTAAATTTAAAAAAATACCTAAGTTTTTACAGTTCAGAGAGATAATATTCTTCATATTTGGCTCCAAGAATAGTTATTTCTCCTATACTAAAGAAAAAGAAGATATAAAAAATTGCATTTTGCACTCTTGGTGGTAAACTGATGTAGCCACTGTGGAAAACAGTATGGAGGTTCCTCAAAAAATTAAAGATAGAACTACATAATGACCCCCAGAAATTCCAGAAAGTATCTGAAGAAATCTAAAACACTAATTAAAAAAGACATATGCATCCCTATGTTCGACAGAAGCAAGCTAAGTGTTCATTTACAGATGAGTGGATAAAGATGATACATATGTATATTACTGATACATACGAATATTACTCAGCCATAAAAAAGAATGTAATCTTACCATGTGCATAACATGGATGGACCTAGAGGCCGTTATGCTGAGTGAAATAAGTCAAACTGGGAAGGAAAAATACCATATGATTTCACTTCTACATGGAATATAAAGAACAAAACATGCCCAGGCTGGTGCATAGGAGGCAACCACACATTGACGTTTCTCTCCTTGTTTCTCCTATCCTTCCTCTATCTCTAAAAATAAATAAATAAAATATTTAAAAACAAGATTCACAAGAATGTAAAGTACAGCATAGAGAATACAGTCAATAATATACTAAATATATATGGGACCGGGTGGATACTAGACTTACGGGAGGGATCACTTAGTAAGTTATATAAATGTCTAATCATTATGTCACATGCCCAAAACTAACATAATAATACCAACTGTAATTGGAAAAAAAACACCTCTTTTTATATATACTACCAAAAATAAATAAATATTTTTTTAAATTACAATTTTTATTGACTACACCTCAAAAAGGAAAGCTGCCAACTCTATCTTTTTTTTAAAGATTTTATTTATTTATCATTAGAAGGGAAGGGAAGGGAAGGAGAGGAGAGAGATATCAATGTATGGTTGCCTCTTGTGCATCCCCCACTGGGAACTGGCCTGCAACCCAGGCACGTGGCCTGAACTGGGAATCGAACCGCGATCCTTTGATTCGCAGGCCCGCGCTCAACCCACTGAGCTACACCAGTCAGGCCCAGCTCTATCTTAAGGAACAAAATTTTCTTCAAGAGAAATTTCATCACAGTTTCTTATACGGACTGTATGATGTTTCTGCTGGCAATATATAGGTCTCACTAAAAGTTTCCATATTTTTTCCTCTGTCTGCCTTTTTTAAACCATATTTTAAGAAGCATCATCAGAATGAAACACATGTATCAATATTAAAACCCACAAAATTAGTTATCACATATCCACATAGGCATCTAAGTAAATTGGCTAATTGCTTCATGAGAAGTTATATAGTATATAATAGAGGCAACATTTGTAGTGGAGGCAGAACAAGTTAGACTTGGGTGGAAATCATGGCTCTACCACTTGTTAGCTATGTAACCTGGGCAATTTTCTTCTCTCAGTCTGAGTTTTCTCATTTGCAAAATGAGGTAATAGCTCCAATCTTATGAGGATTAACTGTGTGTGAAATGCCCGGCACAGAACCTTACTCAAAGCAGGAGCTCCGGAAACAGTTACTGCTATTACTCTGCTGTTGTTCATGCAAACTCCTTAAAGGCAAAGTATAATTTTTCCTGAAACTCAACTGTAAGTTTTATAATTGAGACCTGAAAAAGTAAAAGCAAGAAACATCAAAGTTACATATAATGAGACTATGAAGTAATATGATGACCCTGGCTGGCATGGCTCAGTGGATTGCGTGCTGACCTGCGAATCGAGAGGTCACCGGTTCAATTCCCAGTCAGGGCACATGCCCGGGTTGCCAGCCAGGTCCCCAGTTGAGGGCAAGCAAGACTCAATCACACTGTTTCTCTCCCTCCCTTCCCCTCTCTCTAGAAGTAAATAAATAAAATCTTTAAAAAATAATAATGATGACCTTCAATACATATCAAAATGAACAATGTCATTTTTATAAGCCATTCTAAAAGGAGATGAGACTTGTCTGCGTACAAACCACATACGGAATTACTTTCATTCATTCCACAAGTATTTCCTGAATGTCCATTAAGTGCCAGACATTATGCTAGGCAATGTGCTTATGACGGGGAAGAAAAGCTGACACGATTTCAGTCTTTATGGAGCTTCTGGTCATGAAATTGAGCAGAGTGTAAGCTTGTTAATATTGATGTAAAGGACAGTACATGGTACTCTGAGAGCCAATAACACAGATCTAACCTAACTGGTGATGTCAAAGAAGGCCTTCCAGAGAAAGTGAAAGCTGAGATTTTAAGAATAATGAGGGAGTTAGCAGAGAGAGTATTTGCAGACATAGGAAAGCAGTTTGTACCCAGACCTTGTAGCACCTGGCAAGAGGTCCGATCAAAAGGACTGTGCCTGGTGCAAAGAGGAAGTTTGAGAATTAGCCAGGGCTCTAGACCACTCAATGGCTGAGGCTTCTGCAGAGCACGTTCAAGAGTTGTGATGATCCAAGAGCAGTGAACAGGCCACTGAGGGTTTTATGAATGATTATTTTGGGGAAAGGTAAGCTGAAGGAAAGATGCAATCAGATCTGCTGTTTGCCTTTGGCTTCAGGAATAAGCTAAGGAAAGCAAATGTGTCAAGCAGGAAACAAGTTCTGTTAGGATATGACAGTTGGGGACTAGGGTGATGAAGGTAGTAGTGGTGGAAGAAAAAGAATTTAAGATATATTCAGGAAAACCTGATGATGTATCAATATAATACACAGGGGCTGAGAGAGAACAGTGTCCAAGAGAACTGGGTGTCTGATTCACAATACTGTATGGGACATAGGTACCACTCAGGAGGGGTGTGCTCCAGAAGCACCTGTAAGGCAATTTCCCACACCCCAAAATGTACCTAAATGCATTTCAATTTTGCCTTAACTCAGTTGATCCCCTATTATACTTTTGAAATCGGGTTCCAAAGGATTTTTCTGCTATTTCCAAAAATCAAACTGACTCTCAAAAATACAAGATTTTTCCAACAATGAAGTTACTTCCACAAAGATTCTGCCACAGCTTTGAAATAAAATCCAAATGAGTTGTAAAATTGGTTTTGGCAAAGGGCTGGCATTATGGAATGAACGTGTCATTTCCCATGATGACAATTTGATAAGACTAACATGCATTTGCTATTTAATTTAAATATTTTAAGAAACTTAACAGGAATAATCACACATGATATTAAAGTACAATATGAAATTTCATCAAGCTCTACAATAACTGAAACTATACTTGAAACTACGTAGGTTTCATGTTTGTGTTTCAACATTTTGAAATATCAGTAGAGAACTTGGTATTTTGTAGAAAAACGGATGGTTATTAAAAAAACCCACATAACTCCTTGATTTTGTTTCCATCTAGTTTTTGTAATACCCATCACATTCATTTGATGTAAAAGATTTTTACTAAACAAGCTTTCTCTATACTTTTATCAATACTATCAATATTTGCTTTCCTAATACTTGCAACCTAATACCATTTTCATAGTGGAATATTGATGTCATTAAGTCTCAGAAACATAGAAACTTCAAATCTGACTAACCCTCCAAAAGACGAGTGAATAAGATCACTTCTTAAAATCAACCTAACACATCACACCTTAGTACTACAGTATTTCTTTAATTTTGGCAGGATGGGTTCCTTGGCTACCTGCTTGTACTAGCCCCTGACTAGCATTTTATTAACGCTCAATTTCGGTTACCAAAATGTTACCATGGATTGTACAGCATGGCAGCATTTTTCCCTCATGCTGATTTTATCTCAGAGTGTCAAAAGACAAGACTACAGTTTGAAGCCAAACATGAAAAGTGTTATCTCTACAAATGAGTAGAAAGGGGCTTTTAAAAAATCAGGCCTTAAGCTCATTAACCAATATTACTTTGTAAAACCAGATTGTCTTCACACTGGACACTGCACTATCAAATACGGTTCTTGGAAACAAGGGTCTGGAGAGTTTGAAGTGGGTGACCATCTTATTTCAGATTTTTATTAAAACATGGAATCAAACTCATGGCTGTAAGGCCGGGTATGGGCAGTGCCAAGAAAGGCAGGGAAACGCCAGGAAGGGTCCCATCTTCCTCGGAAGGTGTGGTCCCTGTCTGCTCCGCAAAAATGTGCAAGAGGGCCTGGCTTCTCCCGTACCAAAGCCCTCAAAATGACACCGCAAACCACTTCCTTCTGGGAAATGACGGTCCCAAGAGTTAACGGACAATGGAGCTGCACGCAGGCTCCGGAAAGATGGAGACCGGAACGAGACAGAGTCGGGCAGCGGGCCTGCGGCACAGGGCGGTCCAGGCCCGGGCTTCGGGGAGCCCGGACTCTCGTCTGGAGACCTAGTGCATTCTCCAGTGGGCAGGAGGTCCCCGCAGGAGCCCTGCCGCCCAACCCGGGTACTTCCTGCCCTAAAAAACACAAACTCGCTCGGAAGGAAGTAAAACCTGTTTAAGGAGGCAAGGGGTTGCGCAAAGTTAGGGCCCGGGAGGCCTGGGGGGAAGATGGCAGGGGCGCGGGGGCGGGGGGGGCCATGCCCCCACGAGCTCGGACGTGCAAGTCCCGGGGTCCGACACGCCCACTGCCGCCCGCTTACCTGCTCCTCCTCCGGGGTCAGCTCCGGCGCCATGTCGGCCTGGGGTGCGGTCGCCGGCTCCATCCCGCAACCGTGGTGGACACAACCCGCCAGGAACCCCGACGCTAGCTCAGCAGCCCCCGGACGGCCCTCGCATGCTGGTCCCGCGCCGCCGTTTCTCGCCCAAAGGCTCCCGAGTGTCGCCGTCTTCTGAGCGGAAATCCTTGTGTATTTTCTCTTCTCCTTTGCTTACTCCCACTCCTCTCCCGGAAAACAGCAGATAGGAGCTGAGAGTCTTCCGAGGCAGTAGGGAGGAAATGAAGAACGTTAGAGGCCTCGGTGGTGGCGCCCCGCAGCCACCCGAGCGTGACGGGTCGCCGGCTGCTGGTCTGGCCACTGCGGTCGCTTCAGTGCAGCTACTCAGAAGCCTCGCAGGCCACAGCTAAGGACGGGAAGGCAGCAGGACCTCGAGACCACCCGAGCTCCGCGCAGCTCCATTGAGAAACTGCGCGTCTCATTCGCTAATGGGCGGGCCGCGAGCTGGGTCCGCAGGGCTGGGACACAGTCCGGGAGGGGGCGACAGAGAGGAGCCACTCAAGCTGAAGGAAGGAGGGCGGGAGGAGGAAAAGCAAGGCGGGAGTGTGCGTTTTTTTGTGAGGCGAAGTTCCGTGGAAAGAAGAGTACAATCTTTCAGAAACGAGCTGTAGCGGGGCACGTAGCCGCGGTGGCGCACGTGAGGGACAATGCGTCGCACCTGCCCCTGTCGGTGGCAGACTGAAAGCCGGTCAGCCCCGCCCAGCTCTCGCTCTGCCGCGTTATCCCGGACCTCGTTGCCAATGTAGCTAACTTTAGTTCTCCCGCTACAGCAACCTCACCCTTAGAAACCTCATCCAGAATACCGCAATTTCTTCAAGCCTCTGATTCCGCTATAAGGCGGTACCGCAAGTGGGGTCTTACAGCGTGGCCTAGGCCCGCTTGGAGTCACAGGGAAGGCAGAGGGCTCCGCTGTTCTGCATCATCCCAGACCAAAAATAAACAATATAAAGAGCTGAGTCCTGGAGAGCTTGGGAGAGACCTAACCGAGGGACTTCAGACAGCTGAAGAAATGCTTCTTCCGGAACTTTAAAAGCAGCCTCTGACCTAGCCTCATTTCTGCCTGACAGCCACGGGAACTTCAGTGCTTGCCCTTGGTTAGAGAAGACTCTCCTGGTACTCGGTCATTATTTTACTTTTGGCGCCAATAAGGCTGACTCTGGATTGACTTCGCACCCCTTACAGAAGTTACAGTTTGTGTTACACCCAAGCGCTTCTCTGGGAGATACTACTCCCAGAAGATACTACTTATTTAACAAGTATATTTCTTTGCCAGGCACTGGGGCAATGTCCACATGTTAGAGTTTGGAATGATCCCTGAGCTATACTACAAAGTAAAAAAAAAAAGACTCAAATACTGTGTATAATATGCTGTCATATGTATAAAGGAAAAAACCATACATTTGTAAATTTATATATACAAAAGCTTTGGGAGGACAAAAGAAAGGTAACTGGTTGTCTCAAGAGGGGAACTGGAAGTCAGGATCAGAAGGGATAGGGAAACTTTCTTATACGCTCTTTTGTACATTTTAAGTTTTTTCTTTTTATTGAAGTACATATACATAAAAGGTGAAAATGTAAGTTGATCAGCAAGATGAACTTTCATAAACTCAACATATTCATGTAACAAGCAAACAGATCAAGAAATAGAGCACTCCTACCCTGGCTGGTGTGGTTCAGTGGGTTGAGTGCCAGTCTGCCACCTGAAGGGTCCCCAGTTGGATTCCCTGGTGAGATTCTCAATCAGAGCACATGCCAGGATTGTGGGCCAGGTCCCCAGTTGGGGACACACCAGAGGGGACCAATTGATGGTTCCCTCCCTTTTGAACCCTCTTAAAAAAAAAAAGAAATAGAACATTCTCAACTTCCCAAAGCCCCTACCTTAGTTACTACCTTCCTTAGAGTAACTCTTGAGTTGTAACAGCACTGTAAGTTTTCCATGTGGATGTATATATAACCTTTTACAAAAAAATTTTAAATAGTAACAATACAGTTGACCCTAAACAACACAGGTTCTTTTTTTTTTTGCTGGGACCCCTCTCTGCCTGGCTGCCTGACTCCGCCCCTCCTCCCGGTCAGGATGACTGTGTCTGCTTTAACTCCTTGGTTGTCGGACTTCCACACAGTTCGATTTGCTGTCAGTACTGGGTTTTTTTGTTTCTAAATTTTTGTTGTCCTTATTTTGGTTGTGTGAGGAGGCACAGTGTGTCTACCTACATCTCCATCTTGGCCGGAAGTCTCTGAACAACACAGGTTTGAAGTGCACACATCTATTTACATGTGGAAATTACTGTATACTTTTTCTCCCCCCGGGAGGCAACTGGCTGGAGAAAGAAATGGCAGGACCTGAGTAGTACAAACCACTGAGTTTGACACAGGAGAGAATGGAGTCTCTCAACCCACTATTGACAGTTCTATATTTGTTTTTCCCAGTGAACCTCAGTACACCAAGGGTCAGTGATTTGTCCAAAGTCACACAGCTAACGAATTAGTATTGAACTAAAACTTTAACCCAGGCATTCTAACTCCTAGTGCAGGGATCAGGTGAGGAAAATTAATACAGGGAAAAGGTTAGCAGAGTGAACTGGGTGAGAAAACTCGGCAGTGGTTTAAGAAGCACAGCTGTGTATGGGAATGCGTGGGTGTGAAAGGGAACAGTTCTCAGAACCCATAGGACAATGTTTGGAAGTTTCTGAGCAGAGAGATGTGGATAACAAACTAAGCTCAAGGCAGCTGGCCAAATTTGCTCTGAGAGGTAAATCTGAGGATAATCAGAATACAAAGTCTTGCCTATAACTGTAGGCTCAAACCAAGGAAATCAAGTATGGTACCATCATCCCGCTAATCAAACCCTAGAGATGCAAAATGGTTTGTAATAGCAAACGAATCAGCATTACATAATGGCCTATCAATCGGAAAATCAGTAAATAAATTATAGTACACATACACACTGAAATAATAAGTTCGCATTTATCCTGTCCTTAACGTATGCCACACTGTTCTAAATAATTTGCATTCATCTACTCTCACTACTATAGTATAACTGAAATTATGATCCTTGTTTTATTAAAAAAATGTGTAAGGTAGATCCATATGCATAGACATAGCCTTCTTGCATTTTTAAATGCTTGGCTGTAGAGCCTCTAAAGAAAGGCTAGGGTAGGACTGGGGGAGTGTAGGTGACAAAAATCACATTTTTATTAAATTAATGAGGGTAGGGGGAGAAAGAAGAGAATGAAAGCCGTCAAATACAAAGCGAAGGAAGGAGACAACCCTTCCAGTGGTGAGCATGCAATAGAGTATACATATGTTGTATTATAAAGTTGTACTCCTGAAACTTATATAATGTTATTAACCAATGTTTTCCCCAATACACTTAATATAACTAACATCAATTGAAATCTGAAAGTCAAAAATAAATTACAAAGAGGGAACCGGGAGAGGGTGTTATGGGTTCTATTTTTGTTTTTTGCTTTTAAAGCATATGTTTCAGATCTCTGTCTAGAAAGCTTATCCTCCCCTTCTTCCTATCTTCTTCATCAGACAAATCTGACTCATCCTTAAGGTCTCAGCTCAGAAGTCACTTCCTCAGGAGGACCTTCTGTGGCTACTCCCTAAACTGAATTAGACTCCCTGTTTGTTACTCTCACAGTACCATCTTATCTTTTACCAGAGAGCTGATTACAACTTGTTGTTGTGTACTTGTCCATTAGCCTAGTGCCTGCCTGCTCTATGAAACTGTAAGCTCCAGGAAGGTAGGAACCACACCTGTCCTGTTGGCCCCTGGAACCTTAGTGGCCAGAGCCTAGTATCTAGTAGGCAGGCACTTCATAAATATGTGTTCAATGACTAAATCGATGAAGACAGTCATCTTAACTCTGAAGTCTCTGTCTTACCATTTTCTCCTGCCTAGTTTATATCTGTTCTTATCTAAGAATAGAGATACTTCCAAAGTTGTGATTAGAATTTTATAACCTTTTCCCCAAAACAACTTTACTTCAAAATCCAAAGCTCCTCTCAAAATATTGCTCCAAAATATCTACTGCCTATGAAAGAGACGTGTATTGTGCTATAAGACGCGCTTTGGCTATAAAAAAACCAAAGTACCTATTGTCATTTTTTCTTTCTTTTTTTTTTGGAGCAGTCATCTGATTTATAAAAAGATGTAACAAATATGAAAATGGTACAAAATATCATTTTCAAAACATAAAAAAGTGAGTGCATTTAACCATACTTAGCTCATAACAGAGCAAATGGGTGAGTGGAGCAGCAATAGCTCATTCTGTAGCATGTTAATAACCTGGCAACAGAGAAAGTTAGTTGAAGAAAAGCAGAGGAAGGAACTTGGTTTTTTAAGTACGAGAACTGAGGGGCTCCAAAATCATCTGGTGTCCACTCAATGTTGTACCTGTGGTTAGAAATGTACATGTTGGGAACTCCAGGGACTGTCCCAATTCTTGGCTTAAGGTCCTGGTCACCTGTGATGGCAATGTGACACCTGTGCTGAGTTACTCTCTGTGCTCAACAGTCATCTGCATAGGTTCCTTTGTGTGTGCATGGTAATGGTTCAAATCTTGGATCTTTAGTGATCCTTAGAGCCACTCGATACTTCTGCCCCGATTTCTCAGTTTCGGCCACCACACAGTCAGTTATACAAGGCATACACTTGGCACAGAGACAGCCCATCACTGACTGCACTAAGACCAGTTTAGCCTTAAAGGGAAAGTTGATAAAGTTGATATTGACCAGGATGTGGAAAGCTGGGCCCAGTTGTGTGTTATACTGGAAGAATAAGCAGAAAGAGTATTGGAGAACATCTCTTTCCTTGAGTGCATTAGGATCTTTCTTTTTAGGTTTTAATCTATCCTTTTCTTTCAGCCTCTGATCTCTCAAACTAAGTATTCTCTTCGTGGTCGAATATTTCCTTGTTTTCATTTGCTTCCCCATGATCACACCGCACTCTTGTTTCTTATTGCCATTTTTTCCAAAAGACAAACAGAGACAGAGTCAAGAGGTCATACTGCTAACCAATGTCTTACGGTGAAAATTTTTTTGTTTGCCATAATCACTAGGATAGCTGAAGGTGAGCTCTATAAGGAAGTTGAAAAATTTTATCCCATTGTACAGTAGATTACATTTTACCCCATTACTGCAGAGGCTGGTCCATACCATACCTATCTGTTTTTTTTTTTAAATTAAAATATGATCTGCCTCTTTCCTCACATAATTTTCTCATCTGACATTCCTACTTACCACTCTCAGATCACAGGTTAATCACTATACTATGTTTTTTTTTTCTTTTTCTCTGTGCCACTGAATGACAGTTGCCATTGGCATGGTCACAGGTCAAGGGCGCACTCAAGGGTTTCCTCTCAGCACCAGCTACCGAATCCCTACACTATGTTAATTTTATATCTGATACTTGTGTCTAGAGTTTATACAACACTCTGAATTATAATTATTTGCTTCCTTGGTAGTCTCTCCCATTAGACCATGAGCTCTTTGAGGGCAGGGACCATGTCTTACTACTCTCTCTTCAGAACCAGCACAATATACAGTACACAGTTGGAGGTGTTCAGTCGGCGTTTGCTGAAAAGAACGGATCTGTCCTTTTGTAGCAAAGTCCAATTCTTACCAAAGAATGCCAAACAAACAGGTTTGGTTACCTTGGATACTTAGTCGTTTGTGAAAAACATTCAATATAACAGAGAGGTACCGTCTGAATTAGATTACATCACTTTCACTCACTTTGACTTATGTGTGCTAATGGGGAGGCCAGAAAAGATAGAACCTTATTTGAGTGAGATTCTAGTTCTCCTCTTGCTACAGTTGCCAATGAAAAGCAGAACTGACAGATTTGAATTTCATCTTTTATTTCCCGAGTCTGACTGCAGAGAAAACCAGAAAGGCAAAAGCAGAGAGACAAAAGGCTTGAAAGACTGCCAGCCCACCTGTGAGGGAGCAACTTTGCTTACAAATGCAAATGGTCTGTGTCAAGTTCTAGCCAGAAGTAATCTCTAGGTTTCAAAATTTGCCTCATTCGGTCCCACACTGTCCCTCAAAAAGTGGAGAATACCTCTGGGCTAGGCCAACGGTGAGATTCATCTCCCAGTTGCCCAGGCTGCCTCCAGCTACTTTTCTGCCTCTGCAAAAGAGATGAAAATTCAACTTTTCAAAAGACTCACCATCACTTGAAATGCATGTGAGAAACAGATGTACACTTCCTTCATATTTGCTATCGAAGGCCATTCTTAATTCACCTTCCCAACTGCCAGCCTTCCAGCTCTCCCAGGTCCTTTCCACCCGCCTCTGTCTTTTTATCGGATAGTGGGCCCTCCGGGGAGTTGGGAGGAGGTAAGACACAACCAAATCAAGACCCTAAACCAAATCTCTCAGCACTTGGTAAAGAAACTTTAAAAAAAAAATTCATTTGGTTCTCCTTTACTGTAAAGATCAGGTATAATCACAAAATCCCAGGACAGCATGGGACTGAAATACCACCTCGTCTTATCAAAGCAAACAGTCTGCTTCTCCTGCCCTACGTATCAGAAGACATAAAACAAAAGATACATTTGCTTTATAAATATATTGTGCAGTGGTTTTTGCTCATCCCCTTATTAGAAAGGAAGTCTGTAGCTAAGAAGATTATTTCTTTCCCTCCTCCAGTGTACGCAGTGCCAAGTTTTTAGGCTATACTTTTAATCACATCTGCAGAACTAAATACAGTTCTTGTTATTAGCAGTCTGCAGCACATCCAACCACCTGTTTAGCAGCCAGCCACACACCTCCAATCAGCCTTCTCTCTCCAGGGTCGTCACCCCTCTGTGCAGTGGGAGAGGGGAGGGGGCTCTCCTCCAAAATGTCTTCTCATTCCCACTCATCATTTCACCTACTCAATCAACATTTATTGATGTAAGTGCCAGGCCAAATGCCAGGCGCTGGGGATCTAAAGATGAATTAAGACCAGATCCCAGCCCTGGCTGATGTGGCTCAGTGGATTAAGTGGCAGCCCGCAAACCAAAAGGTCACTTGTTTGATTCCAAGTCAGGGTACATGCCTGGGTTGTGGGCCAAGTCCCCACTTGAGGTCGTGCCAGAGGCAATAGATGGATGTTTCTCTCACTCATCAGTGATTCTGTTTTTCCCTCCCTTCCCCTCTCTAAAAATAAATAAATAAAAACCTTAAAAAAAAAAAGACCAGGTCCCTCACCAGAAGGAGCTTGTAACCTAAGAAAGAGTGTCATAAAGGATTTAACTTTGCCAAGAGAAAGGTTGGCCTATGCTCTTGGCTCCTGGGAATTAACCTAAAAGCCCTTGGAATGACCTACTAATAGTGTCTTTGATTACCTGGGGGTCTTTGGCCCTACCAAAAATCCAGCAATGTGACTGGGGGAGGGAGGGACTTTAAATCACACATTACCAGCTAGACCACTGCACAGATCTACCATAAGGCCCGGATAAAGATGGTGGACACCAAGGCACAGGGGAATATTCCCTGGCTGGTAATATTCTATTGTCACACGTAGTTACCAAGAAAGTTTAATGCCGTCCATGACTCCACTGGGAGAAGACAATGGGAAAATCCACCTTTGGAACTTTTGTGGACTCTGCCCCATGCATTTCTTCTCTTGCCTGACTTTCATCTGTTTCTTTTCACTATGATAAACTGTTATCATGTATAAAAGCTTTCAGTAAGTTCTGTAAATCCTGATGAATTATCAGACCTAAGAATGGTCTTGGGGGTTGGTCTTGGGGGCTATCCCTAACTTGTAATTAGTGTCAAAATGGTGGTGTTCTTGTGGACCATCCCTAACTTTGGTTGATAGACATGTAGTAGGATGGGGAGGGCACAAAGATGAAAATGGCTAATTCTGCCTACAGAGGTAAAGTTTCAAATAGTTACCTGTTGAATGGGGTTTTTTAAAGATGAGTAGGTATAGTCACCAGGTCAATGCAATCAAAATGAGGAGGAATAGTGTCTGTGGGGGTGGGAAGGGGGTAGAGGGACTATGAAAGAAATGTATACAGAGAACGTAAAGCAGCATCACGGGAAAGGAGGCAGCAAAAGAGACAAGGTTATTTATGAGACCAGACAGATACACTAAGGCCAGATCACGAGAAAGTTTCCTAGTCAAGGTGACTAAACACTATTAACAGGGACAAGGATCTCAGGAAGAGCATGACTAAGGGAGAAGGATAATGAGTTCAGTTTGGGTCATGCTAACTTTGAGATGGCTAGGAAATGTCTGGTAATAAGTTAGATACATATACAGTGTCAACAGTAAGATAGAGAAGGCATCAGCATACACTGGGCAGGTAAAGCCAGGTAAGAGAAATCCTGGGAAATATCCCTTAGATTTGGAACACAGGAGTCGACCAGTCCCTTGATGAGAGCACTTGAAGTGGATGAACAAGTCAGATTTCAGTGGACTGAAATGTAAGTGAGAAGTTAACTAGTGGAGATAACTGGTTGCTAAATACAACTGGATTTGTTTGACATCAACTCTTCCGTGCAGGCATTATATAGTCCAGCATGGCTTTTCTCAGCTAACATTAAAGTAACCGAGACTTCTTATTTTGCTTGGTCTTTTCTAGGTGCATGGGTTCCAATAGCACTTCAGCTAAAATAGGTGATCTCAACTACTGCCGTAGTTCCTTGCTACCATATGCCAAGCTGGTCCTCCAGTCAAGGCAAGCTACCCAGGGCCACGCTGAGCAGTGGTATCGGGAAATCTATTCTGGCTACTTTAAATAAGACGAAATTTACCGGATGTTTACAGGTTTTGTAACAAGAACAAGAAACACTCCCAGCTCCTTGGTGGGCCAAATAAATGAATTCCCACTGATCACTCCCTTTGTTTCTCTGCTCAAGACATGAATTCTTCTTGGTGAGGAGCATGTGATTGTCCCAAGTTGAGTCATAAGCCTGATGGCTTGGGTAAGGAAGGGAGTTACCCCAAATTATACCTCCACCATACTATAATGCATGGGGAGAGATAATTCCACAAAAAAAAAGGCTGGGGGCTATTCAGAAGAGTGGCCAGAGAACTAATATCCAATCACAGCACCGTATAACACAAGTATCTTTGTAACAGGTGGCATTTCACAAAGAAATATTACCAGGACATACATTTTGTTCAGTAATCAATACTACTAGCTCCTCAGTTAAAAACAGAAGGGGCATTCCTCTGAGAAACATCCTTCCAGTAACCATTCAACATATCAAGTTGTGCATGGTAATAATTTTGGCCAATACATTCTTTGACTCATGTATCTCTGTCCCCAGAGTGTCCTGTGGGGAAGTAGTCCTTCCAGACCTGGTTATTTCTGGGCAGAGCCCAGCCATGTCTCACTGATGCTAGCTAGCACGCACTGCTTCTGAAAGGACACAGCTAGCTGCTGAGAATACACACTACAGATTCAGAAGGCAGGTGATCAAATAGAGACATAATATCTAGGCAGCCAACAACAAGCTTCCTGACAAGCAGAATTGACGCTATTGGAATTTAGGAAAGAGCTTATTGATATAGACATGCTGAAATCTGCAGGCAGCAGGAATATCACTGGGTGTAGGGGAGGAGGCTTCTTTTTGGATTTTTAAAAAATATTTTACCTATTTTAGAGAGAGGGGAAGGGAGGGAAAAAGAGGGAAACATTGATCGGTTGCCTCTAGCACGCCTCCAACCAGGGACCTGGCCTGCAACCTAGGTATGTGCTCCAAACAGGAATCAAACCCACAACCTCTTCATTTGCAGGATAGCACCTAGTCCACTAAGCCACACCAGGCAGGGCTTCATCTTGGATTTGATAGAGTTGGCTTCAGCAGTTGTCTAAGAGCCCAGCAGGAAGGCCAAGTCCGCTGCTGTGCTGAATTTATAATTAGGCTCCTCTCAACCACAAGTTCTGCCAAGATTTGTTCCCAGAATTAATCACAAAAGAACCCGTCACACATATAACCCAGATCCTTCTATGATTTTGTCCACAGGACACTACTGCTGCTGGAGTGGAATAGTTAATTATTCTGTCCAATAAGATAAGTGCTAGGAATGTGGAAAGCAGTGTGGGGGCAGATTACAGCCAATGGGAAATGAGACGTTTCCTGAACATAGGGCAGATGCCATTTTCCTTCCATTCCAACAGCTACCAAAGAGCTCTAGTTCATAAATCTGAATGGATCTTGTCTGCTCAAAGCACTTCATAGGCTCCTTTACATTCATGACATAAAATTCAAAACCCCTGTATAACACAATCAGGCCTATCTCTTTCTAGCTTCCTCTTCCACAGCCCTCCAATTCTACATAATGCTTGAGCCACGCTAAACCAACTTCAGGTCCCACAGCAAGTCCTGCCCTACCCTGCCTGCCCTGAAGGAGGGCAACGGTACATTCCTGCCTCTGTGAGGACTCCTAACCACCTTGTCTGCAGAGCACATTGCTGTCCCTCCTGTGAGTCTCAGCCCTGCTCTGATCTCCTCTGTGAAACCTCCCTGTGCTCTTTCCAGCACCGGAGGCTCTATGGGCCTTTCTGTACTACAGCAGTCAGCTCACCATCTTCACTCATTCTATATGCTGGTGGGTTTATTTTCTCACTGGTCCCCTCTAGCTCCCATCACTGAGGCCTAGCACAAGGGCTTATTTGCTAGAAGGTGCTCAAATGTTTGTTGAAGTAGTGAATGAACACCATTTGCCTTTTATCTCTGGCAATGTCTAAACCAAAGAAAGTCACACTTGTCTTCTCGGAAGAGGGAAGATATTCAAATACTAAGAACTGCAGTTCCTGGAAAGACCTTTTAGAAAATGACATTAGCAACAGTAGCAACTGGACACTCAGCAGAACGCTTAAGTGCTAAAACCAGAGTGAAACAGGCCATGGTTTAGGGAGCCTGAGAGTTCAAAATTTGAGTCGCAAGTTCTTGGCTTTTATTTTTATTTATTTTTTACCCTCACCAGAGAACATTTTCCCCCATTGCTTTTAGAAAGAGAGAGAGAGAGAGGAAGACAGATAGACACAGACATTGATTGGTTGCCTCCTGTACTCAACCAAACCAAATACTAAAGCTGCATCCTAGGGATGTGCCCTGACTTGGAATCAAACCAGCAACTTTTTGGTTACAGAGCAATGCTCCACCCAACTGAGCCACATGGACCAGGGTGAGTTCTTGGCTATTAGACCACAAAAACAACCTTCCAGACTGATACAGTCATCTGTACAACTGTTAAAAAAAAGTCCCTTGAAAAAATAAAAAATGACCAGTTCTTTCTTAAGAATCGCATGTATTTACATTGTGGATCCAAGATACACTTTTTACAGGAATTAAGCTGTTTCCAGTGGAGTGGCTTTGAAAAGTTCACTCTAAAATGAAGTCACCTGTTGTACCTGTCCTCCTCCTCAATCTTCTTTCTGGGACCAAGCACTGTCCCGTGACTCCCAGAGGAGGCTGCCCTCTTTAGTTCTCCATGAGGGTCCCAGGCTGGTCTGCGCTGTGGGGATTGTTCTTCGGCTTTGGGGTAGACAGGTGCTCCAGCTCGTAGTGCCCGTTGTCAAAGGACTTGTGCGTGGATTTCTCCCTCACGCCCTCCTTTTGGCTCCTCTTGTGCTCAATAATCTGCTGGAGCTGGTGCCTAGCATATTCTGGTTTGGTGGTCAGCGGGCTAGCTGGCACGGCCATACCAAGAATATCTGACACCATGTACGGGCGCAGCCAGCCCACCAGAGGAGTGCTTCCAGGGCTATAGTGGGTCTGCTTGTGGTAGAAGAGAAGTCCGTCTACCTACAAGGAGGGAGACCAGGGATCAAAATGACTTCTGAGGCCACATGTTTCCAGGAGAGCCTAATACACAGGACACCTCTTGTGGTCCAATCCCATTCCTGGCTCACTGCCAAAGGAAAGAACTCTCGTTTCTTAAACATATAATTTCTCTAAATGAAGCAATGGCCTAGAAAACTAAATTTTAGAAAATAAAAACATAAATAGCACTTTCTTACTTATAGGGTGTTTTCCTACCACTTTTTCACCCTCTTACCCACAAGGAGGGTACTTGCAAGATGGGGCTGGCTCAAAGTTCTGGGGGATTCTCTAAAAACGCACAGTGAAGCAGAAATTCAACTGACCCCAGGTCTTCTCTCTCCAAATCCCATGTACTTCCACCGCCCAGAGGTCTCATAGTGGGGTATATGTTCTACACAGAGATCAAAACAGGAGAATTGGATAGACCCCTATGAGATGCTGGACCACTGAGCACAGGGAAAACTGACTATCAAGAAGCCATGCTTCCCAAGCCACTGTTGGCTGCCTAAATCTCCCCCGAAATTGTTTGTGAGCCATGTTCTGGGAAACTCCATTTTTCTCAACAGGAAGACCTTCTATAGTCCAAATTTTCTTTTCCAGAAGTCATCGACTCCACTGTAAAAGCATTTCTTGTCCTTATAGCTCTTATGCTATAAATAAAGTGACACGTTCTTACCACCTTCTTAATTGACTCCCAGAAATGAAGGCAATGCAGCCTTTGCCATTTTCTCATGCAGGAAGGTTATGATCCTTTCTGTAAAATTATATCCAATTCAAGCAAAAACTCGTGGATGACTAGAAAAAATTTTATTTAAGAGAATACAGTTTTTATTCACTCTCCAAGAAAGGAGAGGGGCATAGTGTGGAAAGATACACCACCCAGAATTGCAAAGGGTATGATGGGCAAAGAAAAGTTTGCCTGTGAGCCTGGAGAGAATAACTGCAGCTTCTAAGGTTGACAAAAGACTGCCCAAGATTGAGGAGCTTCTGGAGATGCAAGGGAAGGATTATGAGTTCAAACTCCTGTGGTCACAGAAGCCCCTCTAGACTTTACAACCTGTATAGCAGTCAAACAAAGGACCTGGTTCTTAGGCTTACAGCAGGCAGAGACAAGGAACAACCTAGGAATGGAAGCCTTGCCCTAATCCGGGCCTCAGTTTCTGCATCTGAAAAATGAGGGAGTGAGATGAGTTGTCTGTTCAGGGCCCTTCCAGGTCTGGCATTCTGACTTAGGTAGCAGTGAGTGCATCCCTTCTCAATGATTAGTTTTTAGCCCTTTTCTGATGCTTGGACACAGCAAAGGCAGAAGGTATCTTAAGACTCTGAGTAACCACATTTCTCTGTGTCATGCAATTACATCGGAACAATAAAGACAATGGTTTTGTTACCTCAAAAGGGAAATCCATAGACAGCACCTCACACAGGCTCTCAGGGGTACAAGGAAAATTCTTTAGCCCCACAAATTTAAACTAAAATACAAATTAGAACAAATTAGTAAATATTACAAATATTGTCCCAGCAACTGGAAAGCGGTATCAAAGAATCAAAGTTTTCAGTCTCTTTCTCCCAAACCACCTCCCCTCCATTTACCCACTAAATTTCTAGGTCAGTGGTTCTCAACCTTGCTTAATACAGGAGAATCATTTGGGGAACTCTTAAAAATTACGGATGCCCGGGCCCTAACCGGAGATTCCCACTGAAGCAGTCTGGGAGAGGCCCAGGCACTCTCTTTTTTTAAGCTCTCCATTTAACTTTAACGTGCAGTCAGGATGAAGAAGCACAGTCCTGTGTTAGTGTTAGGGATTGCATGTTACTCTCTCAGGCCTCTGGCAGTTGCTTCTAATAAAGGGCTAGTGAAACTTCTTTCACAGCAGCCAGGATTTTTAGACTGAAGCAGTATCACGAAGTGATAAGGACAACTAATTCTAAAGTCCAGTTGCCTGGGTTTGACTCCCGGCTCTGCCAAACATTTAATCTCTATATGCCTCCCTTTTCCCATCTGTAAAATGGGATAATAAAGGTATTTAACATGGGATAATTAAGTAGCTGCTTAACAGGGTTGTTGTGTGGATACAGTGAGATAACAATACGTACGTGTAGAGCTCTCAGGACAGCTCCCGTGTTCTCCTTCCTCAATACACGTTTCCAGGACCTTACTGATACATCAGTGGAAGTGCTATACTGACCTTGTTTATTGTGATGTTATCCAATTGCCTTTAAAAAGCTGGTAAACAATCCAGGCAAACACCAATCTACAGGGCTTACCCAGTAAAATGCCCTCAAAACAGCTGTCACGTATTTCATCGTGGAGCAGATAGCAAACACACTTGGACTGTCATCCTGTACTGTGTGACCTTGGGGAAGGCAGTCCCTCGCTGAGTCTGTATTCTCATGTGTAAAATGAGGGAACTGACTAGATGAGGTCACTCTGAGCTCAGATATCAAAATATGGTTCATGGACCAGCAGTTTCAGCATCACTAGGGAACTTGTTAGAAATATAAATCTAATCAGCAACTCTGATACTCAGACAGAGAAGTCTTTTCTACCAGGCCTCTTGGTGCTGTTGATACATGCTACGGTAGTGAACCAAGGTACCAGAATTCTAAATACTTTATTAATAAAAGCAGTTATTAGCATTTTACATCAACCACTATTTATTAAGAGCTTACCATAAGTAGGACGTGCTAGGAGATGCATATTTTTATCATTTGGTTTTTAGAATAATCCTGTAAAAGTAGGTGTTTTAAACCTTATTACACAAATGAAGAAACTAAGGCCAAATGATGTTTTTAACTTGTCCTAGTAATCGTTAAAGCCAAAACCAGAATCCAGATCTGGATGACTATTAAGCCTATAACCCTCCTATTATGCTGTACTGTCTCAAAAAATAATTATTTCATTCATAATGATTATATCTAGATAATAGACCAATCCAAACCAATCCCATAAAGAAATCGTCAACCCTCACCCCAGGCCTTACAGGATTGAGCTTGGTGTTCTCTCCCAGTCCTTCTTCTTCTGGTAACTTTGAATGCATCCAGTAGAATCGGAAATCAGTCTGCCACAGAGAAGGAAAAGAGAAAGATAAAATACTGCTCATCTCACACTATAATAGAAACAAAAACAGCCGATTCTAAATAGCAGTCTGATTTATTAAGACCCTTTAAACCCTTCTATCATTACCCTCATTTCCTTCACACTGCCATAAGGTCAGGAAGATACTTAGAAAATCTTTGAAGAGTTTTTCTTTTTCTTTTGATTTACCAGCATGCAAAAAGAACCTTTATTACTTTTATAATAGCTTCCTATACTCTTATACTTTCTTGCCAGATGCCTTTAGAGCAGATGCTTTCTGGGCTGGAGATTTCAGACCTTTTTGAACTTCTGGAGGTGCTGCCTCTGGCTGCAGCAGTCACCTTTTTGCTGGAATGTTTGCAGAAGCTACACCTTTAGCAGCACATGGTTTTTTGGGAGAAGCTTTCAGGAGAGCTGCCTTCTGAAGCTCCCTAACTTCAAGCTTGATTACTCAGTTCCTCATTTTCTTTGCCTTCATGCTTTGTAATGTTCAAAGTCAGTCATCTGGGCTTTGTTTTCTTTAGCTTCAATCTTCTCGGTCCATGGCATGGCTGCCCATTTTGTACTGATGTCTGCCTTCTGCCAGGCTTGTTGTTGGAGATACTTCTGGTGGGCACTTTGTGAGAACTCACGGATAAAGTCAGTGAGCTGCATGCATCTGAAAGGCAAAGCTTGTCTCCTTACTTAAGTGCAAGATCCATCAACCAAAGCCCTGCTCTGATCAAACATCTATAACCATGACTAGCTTCTTTGCATGAAGCTCAAAGGAGACGTAGGCCACCCAACCAACTTCCAGGAAGCACCTGAACACCATGTTGGCAGGGTTCTGTGAAAAGGAAGAAGGCCTGAATATTCTTCTTTTTTGAATATCCTTTTCTTAAAATCTAGTAGGATTATTAATAGCAGTAGACCCAACATTTATTATGGAAAACCTACTATGTGTCCAGCCTCAAGTTAAGAACTTTACACACATAATCACATTAATCTTCAACCATCCTGTGAGAATTGTGTTATCATCATTTCCATTTTATAGGTGAGAAGTTGGAGGCTCAGAGACATTACGTCACTTGTCCAGGTACACACAGAAAATACTTAAGGGATCAGGACTCTCCAACTCCAAATCACATTAGGTCATTTTTTGTCTTATTTTAATCCTGAGGATTAGAAACTACTATATAGTTGCAAATTCTCATAAACTACTTTATTCTCTGAATTACTGATATGTACCTTTCTGTATTTATCTATATCATTTCTCCCTTTACATTATTTAGCTTTTGGAAATTAAAAATATATATCTTTTCTTTTTCTTAAAGATTTTAATTATTTATTTTTAGAGACAGGGGAGGGGAGAGAGGGTGAGAAATATTGATGTGCAAGAGATACATCAATCGACTGCCCCTCGTATGCCCCCAACCAAGTACCTGGAATGCAAGCCAGGCAGGTGCCATGACTGGGAATTAAACTTTTTAGTTCACAGGCCAGCACTCAATCCACTGAGCTGCACCAGCCAGGGCCAGTCTTTTCTCTATACTATAAAAACACTGGTGGGCCCTGGCTGGTGTGTCTTTGTTGGTTGGAGCACTGTCTCATAGACCAAAAGGTTGTAGGTTCAATCTGTGGTCGAGGAGCATATGAGAAGGCAACCAATCAATGTCTCCCTCTCCCTCTAAAAGCAATAACAAAATGTTGTTGGGAAAAAAAAAAACCAAACAGGTGGTTCTAGGTACCAAATTCATATGTTATAAATGCATATTAGGAAACTTCCTTCAATACGATTAAAGGAAAATATATTCTGGACCGAATTTACAACTTCTGAGTTTTAGGCTTAGCTCTGCACTTGAGCAAGGTACTTAAATCTGTGGCTCTCAACGTACATATCTATATGATTAGGAATAACAGTACTAACTTTATAGAGATGTTATAAGGAATTCAATGAGATAATCCTTAAAAGTGTTCAGCGTTTCAAGCCCTGGCAGTTATGTTAGAAGGAGGTACATGTTAGATAGAGTTCTGAAGCACTGCCACTGAACAGAACGAAGCAACCTAGCTTTGAGGAATATGAAGAGAGACAGCCCATGGCCATAACCCATGATTCCCACACTTGGGCCTGCATCACCTGCAGGCTGGTTAAAACATAAGCCACATCCATAGTTTCTGATTCAGCAGGTCTGATCATTTGCTTCTTTTTTTTTAATTACAGTTGAAATTCCACATGATTTTATATTACCTTCTGGCATTTAACTGTGTTTAGACATTCATATAATTTATGAAGTGATCCCCCTGAAAATTCTATTACCTTACCTGACACCATACATATTACAAGATTATTGATTATATTCCCTATATACCTGACATCCCCGTAACTATTTTGTAACTGACAATTTGTACTTAATTGTTTCACATTTTTAAACCTGCCCCCAAATCCCTCAAATATGACAACAATCTGTTTGTTCTTTGTATCTGAGTCTGTTTCTGCTGTGTGATCACACTTTTGTTCTTTAGATTCCATATGTAAGAAAAATCGTATATTATTTGTATTTCCATATCTGACTTATTTCATTTAGCATATTATCTTCTAAGTTCATTCCCAGTTCTTACAAATGATAAGATTTCCTTTTTATGGCCAAATAACATGTGCCACCTCTCCTTCATCCAATCATCAATTGATGGACACCTGGGTTACTTCCATATCTTGGCTACTGTAAATAACACTGTAATGAACATCTATCTTTTTGAACTAGTGTTTTGGATTTCTTCAGATAAGTACTGAGGTAGAACTGCTGGATAATAAAGTAATTCTATTTTTAATTTTTCAAAGAAACTCCACATACTATTTTCCACAGTGGCTGCACCAATTTGCAATACAACTAACAGCGCTCCAGAGTTCCCTTTTCTCCACATCCTTACCAACACTTATTTGTTGATTTATTGATAATAGCCATTCTGACAGGCCTGAGATGATATCCCATTGTGATTTTAATTTGCACTTCTATGATTAAAGACATTGTGTGTCTTTTCATATGTCTATTGCCATCTGGATGTCCTCTTTGAAGAAATGTCAATTTAGATCCTCTGCCAATTTTTTAATTGGATTGTTTGATTTTTGGTGTTCAGCTGCATGAATTTGTTATAAATTTTGGATATTAACCCCTTATTGGTTGTATCATTGGCGAATATGTTCTCCCATTCAGTGGTCTGTCTTTCTGTTCTGATGTTGGTTTCCTCTGCTATGCAGAAACTTTTTAGTTTGATACAGTTCCACTTCTTTATTTTCAATTTTGTTTGCCTTGTCCAGAGAGATACATCAGAAAAAAATATTACTTACAGCAATGCCAGAGAGTAAATTTACTGCCTATGTTTTCTTTTAGGACTTCTATGGTATTGGGTCTAACATTTAATATTTAATTCATTTTGAGTTTATTCTTGTATACAGTTTAAGAAAGTGGTCTATTTCTTTTTTACATGTATCTGTCCAGTTTTCCCAACACCTTAAGAAGTGATCACCCTGATATATGTAGTACCCATTTGACACCATAGTTATTAAAAGATTATTGACTATATTCCCTGTGTTGTACTCCACATCCACATGACTGTTCTGTAACTGCCAATGGGTACTTAATCCCCCAAATACGGACTGCGTCAGGAATTTGCATGTCATCCTTGCCCAGAAGCCATGCTAACCTCTGTATCATTCCATTTTTAGTACATCTACTGCTGAAGGAAGCAAGTTTTACTTCTTTCTTTGAAATTTAGATGTTTTTATTTCATTTTCTCATCTCACTGCTGTGGCTAGGACTTCAGTATTATGTTCAATAAAAGTAATGAAAACAGACATCCTTGTCCTGTTCCTCACCTTAAGAACTTTGAACTTTTCTCCATTGGGCATGATGTTAGCTGTGGGTTTGTATACCTATATGAACTTCATTGTATTGAGTTATGTTCCTTTTGTTCCCAATTTGCCCAGTTTTTATACTAAAATAGTGCTGAATTTTGTCAAATGCTATTTCTGCATCTACTGATATGGTCATAAGATTTTTATCTTTTATGTGATAGATCACATTAACTGATTTGCATATATAGAAGCAACCTTGCATCCCAGGAATAAATCCCTCTTGATCCCTCTTGGTCCTTAAAAACGTTTTTAATGTATTACTGAATTCAGTTTGCCAGTATTTTGCTGAGGACTTTTGCACCTATGTTCATTACAGATATTGGTCTCTAATTATCTTTTTTGTAACGTCTTTGTAAGGCTTTGGAATCAGGGTAATGCTGGCCTCACAAAATGAGGTTGGGGCATTCCCTCCTCCTGAACTTTTTGAAACAGTTTGAGTAGGATAGGTCTTCATTCTTCTTCAAATGTATATAAAATTTACCCGTGAGACGTCCAGTCTAGGGGTTTTCACTTCTTGACAGGTTTTTAATTACTGAATCAATTTTGGTTGGTAGTAATCAGACTATTGAGATATTGTTTTTTTCTTGATACATTCTTGGAAGATTGCATGTTACTAGAAATCTGTCTATTTCTTCCAAATTGTCCTATTTTGGGAATACAATTATAATATTTTCTTATAATCCTTTATATTTCTGTGGTGTCAGTTGTCACTTCTTTTTCATTTCTGATTTTACTTATTTGGGTCCTCTGTTTCTTGATGAGTACCATAAAAAGTTCGTCAAACCTGTTTATATTTTCAAAGAACCATCTCCTGATTTCATTGATCTTTTATATATTTTTTTCAGACTTTATGTCAAGTTTTTCCACTCTGACCTTTATTATTTCCTCCCCTTCTACTTACTCTGGGCTTTGTTTGCTGTTCTTTATCTAGTTCTTTTATATTTTTACATTTTATTTATTTTTAGAGAGGGGAAGGGAGGGAGAGAGAGAGGGAGGGAAACCTCAATGTGTGGTAGCCTCTTGCACAACCACAACTGGGGATCTGGCCTGCAACCCAGGCACGTGCCCTAGACATGGAACCGAACCAGTGACTATTTGGTTCGCAGGCTGGCACTCAATCCACTGAGCCACACCAGGCAGGGCTCTAGTTCCTTTAGGTGTAGTGTTAGATTGTAGTTTAAGTGTTAGATTGTTTGAGATTTTTCTTTCTTCTGGAAGTAGGTCTATAATGCTATGAACTTCCCTCTAAGGACTGTTTTCTTTTTAAAAAAATATATTTTATTGATTATGCTATTACAGTTGTCCTATTTTTTCTCCCCTTTATTTCCCTCCACCCTCCACCCCACTCCCACCATCATTCCCCCAACTTAGTTCATATCCATGGATGATATATATAAGTTCCTTGGCTTCTCCATTTCCCACACTATTCTTAACCTCCCCCCCCACCACTATTTTCTACCTACCATTTATGCTTTTTATTCCCTGTACCTTTTCTCCCATTCTCCCCTCCTCCCTGATGATAAACCTCCAGGTGATCTCCACTTCTGTGATTCTGTCCCTGTTCTTCTTGTTTGCTTAGTTCATTTTTATTCTTGCTCTTTTTTAGGTTTGGTTGTTGGCAGTTGTGAGTTTGTTGTAATTTTACTGTCCATATTTTTGAACTTCTTCTTTTTTCTTATATAAGTCCCACTAACATTTCATATAATAAAGGCTTGATGATGAACTCCTTTAACTTGACCTTATCTGGGAAGCACTTTATCTGCCCTTCCAGTCTAAATGATAGATAGTTTTACTGGATAGAGTAATCTATCTTATAGGTCCTTGCCTTTCATAACTTTGAATACTTCTTTCCAGCCCCTTCTTGGCTACAAGGTCTCTTTTGTGAATTCAGCTGAAAGTCTTATGGGAACTCCTTTGCAGGTAACTGTCTCCTTTTCTCTTGCTGCTTTTAAGATTCTCTCCTTATCTTAAATCTTGGGTAATGTAATTATGATGTGTATTTCCCTGGGCCCAACTTCTTTGGGACCCTCTGGGCTTCCTGGACTTCCTGGAAGCCTATTTCCTTTGCCAGATTAGGGAAGTTCTCCTTCATTATTTTTTCAAAAATGTGTTCAATTTATTGCTATTTCTTTTCTCCCTCGGGCACCCCTGTGATTTCAATGTTGGAATGTTTAGAGTTGTCCAGGGGTTCCTAAGCCTCTCCTCATTTTTTAAAATTGTTTCTTCATTCTGTTCTGGTCGAATGTTTACTTCTTCCTTCTGGTCCAAACTGTTAATTTGAGTCCCAGTTTCCTTCCCCTCACTGTTGGTTCCCTGTATATGTTTCTTTATTTCATTTTGCATAACTCACTTTTTCCTCTATTTGGCAACCATACTCAACCATTTTTGTGAACATTCTGATTATTAGTGTTTTGAACTCTGCATCTGATAGGTTGGCTATCTCTTCATCGTTTAGTTCTATTTTTGGAGCTTTGATCTGTTCTTTCATTTGGGCCATACTGCTTCCTCTCGTCACACCTGTTATGTACATTATAAGGAGAGAAGTCTTAGGTGTTTGCCAGGGTGGGTCAACCCAGGTCACTGCGTTGTGTTGCTGTATTTGGGGGAGGGGTCCAAGCGTGAACAATGACACTTGCTCAGCTCTTGGTGGGCTTTTAGTCACTTCCTCACTACCCACAAGCAAATTTGGCCCTTCTAGTGCTGAATACCAGGCGGGTGGTTCTGTGTACATTCTAGGACCCTGTAGGTCTCTCCAATGAACTCTTCTGTGAGGCTGGGAGTTTCTCCTGCCTCAGCTTGCACAGGTTTTTTCAGTCAGAGACTTTATTTCCCTGCACTGGGACCACAGACCGTGGCTTCCCAGGTCTGTCTAGCTCCCTAGTTGTTCCTCCCAGTTTATCTCCACACAAATGTGGGACCGTCCATTCCACCTGCTGCCGCCTTGCTACGAGTCCTCTCCACACTGGCTGCCCATCTCTGCCCCTCCTACTGGTCTGGATGAATATTTCTTCTTTAACTCTTTGGTTGTTGGACTTCCATACAGTTCAATTTTTCTGGCTGTTCTGGTTATTTTTTGTTTTTAAATCTGTTGTTGTCCTTTTGGTTGTGGGAGCAGGAAAGTACATCTACCTACACCTTCATCTTGACCCTTGGGTCTGTTTTCAATGTGTCCCATAGATTTTGGGTTGTTTGTTCATTTTCATTTTTTTCCAGGAAACCCTTAGTCTCATTGTTAATGCATTTATTATTATTTTAAAATATTTTATTTATTTATTTTTAGAGAGGGTGGAGGGAGGAGGGAAAGAAAGGGAGGGAAACATCAATGTGTGAGAGATAGATCAACAAGTTGTTTCTTGCAAGCCCCTAACCAGAGACCTATCCTACATCCCAGGCATGTTGCCCTGACCAGGAATCAAACCAGCAACCTTTTGGTTTACACACTGAGAATCAATCCACTGAGTCACACCAGCCAGGGCTGCATTCATTATTTAATAATGTTATTTAGCCTTCATGTGTTTGAATGTTTTCCACTTTTTAAAAATAATTGTATTTGAGCCCTGGTTGTTATGGCTCGGTGGATTGAGCACCAGTCTGCAAACCAAAATGCTGCCAGTTTGACACTCAAGGCACTTGCCTGGGCTGCAGGCTAGGTTCCCCAGTATGGGGCACCCAAGAGGCAATCATTTACTGATGTTTCTCTCCCTCCAAAAATAAGTAAATAAAAATCTTTAAAATTGTATTTGATTTCTAGTTTCATACCATTGTGGCTGGAAAAGATGCTTGCTATGATCTCAATCTTCTTACATTTACTGAGAACTGTTTTGTGGACTAACATGTGGTCTATCCTGGAAAATGTCCCATGAGCACTTGAAAAGAATGTATTTCCTGCTGCTTTGGGGTAAAGTGCTCAAAAATATCAATTAAATCAATTTGATCTAATGTGTTATTTAAGGCCGTAGTTTCCTTGTTGATTTTCTGCAAGATCTATCCTGTGATAATGATAGAGTGTTAAAATCCCATACTGTGATTGTAACTCTGTCAATCTTTCTCTTTATGTACATCAATATTTGCCTTATATACCTAGGTGCTCCTATGTTGGGTACATAAATGTTTAAAAGGGTTATTCTTCTTGTTGAATTGATCTCTTTATTATGAAATTTCCTTTGTTTTCTCTTATGATAGCCTTTTCCCCACCACCATTTATCCCCCATACACTCTTCCACATCCACCCACTTTGTTTTAAAGTCTATTTTATCTGCTATAAGTATTCCTACCCCAGCTTACCCATTTCTTTTGCATGAAGTATCTTTTCCTATCTCTTTATTTCAGTTTGTATGTCTTTTGATCTGAAATAGGTCTCTTGTAGACAGCATATGTATGGGTCTTATTTTATTATCCATTCAGGTACCCTGTCTTTTGACTGGAATATTTAATCTATTTACCATATTTTCCCATGTAATAGTATGTAATTTTTGCCAAATTTTTGAGGGAAGAATAAGAATGTGCATTATACATGGGAAAAATGACTACATACTATTGGTATAATAATGGGCTAACAGTCTTATGTATAATGTGCACAAAAACATGGATATGCATTATACACAGCAAAATGTGGTACAAAATGATTATCAAAAGGTACACAGTTATTGCCATTTTATTATTCATATTTGTTGTCTTTTAAGGTTTTATCTTTTTTTAGAGAGAGGGGAAGGTGGGGAGAAAGAAAAGGAAAGAAACATACAATCTATTGCCTCACTCATGCACCCAACTAGGGACCCAGCCTGCAACGCAGACATGTGTCCGACTGGGAATCAAACCTGTGACCTTTCGGTTCACAGGCCAGCACTCAGTCCACTGAACCACTCCAACCAGGGTTATTTTTGTTTGTTCTTTTTGCTCTCCTTCTCCTTAAAAAAGTTCCTTTAACATTTCTTATAATATTGGTTTGGTGGTGCTCCTTCAGCTTTTTCTTTCTGGAAGCTCTTTATCCCTCCTCAATTTCAAATGATAGCTTTGCTGGGTAGAGTAGTGTTGATTGTAGGTCCTTACTTTTCATCACTTTGAACATTTTTGTGACAATCTCTTTGGGCCTGCAAAGTTTCTGTTAAGAAATCAGCTCACAGTCTTATGGGAGCTCCCTTTTACGTAATTGCTTTTCTATTTCTGATTTTAAGATTCTGTCTTCCTTTTTTTTTTTTTTCTTTTTAAAGAGAGAGGAGTAAGGAGGGATAAATAGAGGGAGGGAAGGGAAGCATTACTGTGCAAGAAATATCAATTAGTTGCCTCTCACACACCCCCAACTAGGACCTGGCCCCCAAACCAGGCATCTGCCCTGACTGGGAATCGAACAGGTGGCCCTTCAGTTCACAGGCCAGCACTCAATCCACTGAGCCACACCAGCCAGAGCTATTTTTTAAAAAATAAATAGTAGCCATCCTAATTGGGTGTTTTCTGTTACTTGTCTCCTAAATTGCTGATTCCGTCCTCTGCTTCATCTAATCTGCTGTTGATTTCTTCTAGAGTAGTCTTCACTTCAGTTATTGTATTCATTTCTCACTGGTTCTTTTTTATGATTTCTGTCTTTTTTCATGCTTATTATCTCTTTGCTGATGTTCTCACCAAGTTACTTGGTCATCTTATAACCAGTGTTTTGAACCCTGTATCTGGTAGATTGCTTTCCTCCATTTCTTTTAGTTGTTTCTAACTTTTCTCCTCTTCTTCCATTTGGGACATGCTTCTTTGTCTCCTCATTTTGGCTGCCTCTGTGTTTGTTTCTATGTATTAGGTATGCCACGTCTCCCATTACTGGCAGACTGGCCTTATCTAGTAGGTGTCCTAGGGGCCCAGTGGTGTAGTTTCCCTGGTTGCGTGAGTGGGGTACTCCAGATGTGTCTATTCTGTGGGTTGTGTGTGCCCACCTGTTGTAGTTGAGCCTTGATTACTTTAGGCACGTCAGTGGGTGGGGTTGACCATCAAGCTGAATGGCTGTGAGTACTGGCCATGACTACGACATAGAAGCTCCTGTAGGGGCTGACCCCAGGGAGTAAGATCACCCCGGCAGGCTCTGATGCCTGCCAAGACTACTTTTTCTTTGTATGTGCTCCTTGGGGAATTAAGACCATGACATTGCATGGCACACTGTCATGGTCTGAAGCCAGCCATCAGGTGTGTTGGGTCTGGGGACTCTTAACAGGGGTTCCAGTGTAGGCCAAGGTCAGCCCCTGCTTATGACCAGCCCAGCGCTACCTGGTCAGAACTACAAAGAGATCACAGTTGGTACCTACCAGTGTTGCACCTGGAGACACACGGGAGATGCCACTCTGTGAAGTGAGGCCAGCTGCCACCAGTACCAAACCTGGGGCCACTCAGCTAAAGACTCTGGGTACCCCAAGACCTATTTCTGCCTGCTAGCTGCTCGTAAGGCTTAGCTGCTGAAAGAGGCTCAGGTAGTCTACAAGTTAGGTGAGATGGCATCTCAGGGAGTCACCAGCGTGGTGCAAATGATGTGCCAATTGATGCAGATTCAGAGTTTGCAGCAGTGTTGAGCCTGGAGCCACTCAGCGAGCAAAAGGCACAGGGTACACTGAAGCCAGCTGCCACCAGCCTTGGGCCAGCAGACCTTTCAGAATTTTTAAAGAAAACCTGAAGCTCAGGCCAAGGCCACTGACGGAGCCTCTGGCACTATGTGAAGTGGGCAGAGTGGGGTCCAGGGAATCATCAGAATAGAGCAAGTAGAGTTCACCAAGTTAATGGGAATCTGATTTGGCTGTATGGGAGAGTGCTCAACATAGGGACAATGGTGGCTGTCCCTCCAGCCCTCACACTGAAACCATACAACTCAATTTCTCCCTATATGTCTCTGATATCTCCCAAGCCGTTGTCCCTTCACTGGAGCCCAGGGTGAAGGCTTGCAAGCAAGAGTCTGTGCACGGGCCCTTTAAGAGGACACCTGGTATTCCAGTAGCCTTCTGTCTCACCTATATCAATGAAATCCCCACTGATTTTCATACCCAGATGTTATGTAGACTCCTCTTCCAGGCATAGTGCTCAGGGCTGGGGTGAGCAGTATGGGGCTGTGACCTCTGGTTCTTAAGGAGGTCTTGTGCAGCTGAGATTTCTCCAGTTCATGGGTGTGGAGCCAGCCTGTTCCCCATCTGTGTCTCTCCTAACAGTCTTGATATGGCTTCTGTATATCCTTACTATTGGAGTTAGGTTCATCTTTTACTTAGATGATTCTCCAATTCAGTTGCAATTTTGATGTGGTCACGGAAGGAGCCTGGAGCCACTCAGGAGGCCACCACAGCATTTACCTACTCTACTGTGGTGACAGGAACTCCTGAGAATTTGCATTTCTAATAACCCTGAGAACCACTACAATAAACTAATTGACAGGGAGAATAAAAATCCACCACTATAAAACTGGGACAATGCTGGCAGACTACTGGGAACAGAAATGGAGCCTGAGGGGCTGACTTCGCCTCATCACGATGACTATCATTGTCACTTATAAATCACTAATTTGAGGAAAAATGTTGGGGAAATTTGAAACTTGAGGAAAGAATACTGGGGCCTCTCCTCACTTGGAAAATCTCCTTCTATAGCTATCGCCTCAGAGATTCAAGGCTTTGTGTTATACCAAAAAGGGTCTGCCATATTCAGAGTCGGGATTTAGTTGGTGAAGGAGCAGAGGTAGCAAGAGCCCACTGGATGATGTCTTACCCTCTACCTTCTCTTCTTTGTACCATGGCATCCCCTTCACCCACAATCTTCCCACACTCTGAAAAGGATGACAGGCAGCTGCAGCTTCTACAAAGTCCCAGCCCAACCCTCTGTTCTCTTTCTCTCTTTTCTTCCACCAAGAATTTGTCCTGGCTGGTGTGGCTCAGTGGATTGAGTGTCAGCCTGTGATCTGAAAGGTTGTCGGTTTGATTCCCAGTCAGGGCACATGCCTGAGTTGCAGGGCAGGTCCCTATTTTTGGGTGTGCAAGATGCAACTAACTGCTGTTTCTCTCACATATCGATGTTTTCTCTCCCTCTCCCTCTCCCTGAAAATAAATAAATAAAATCGTAAGGGAAAAAAAAAAGAACTTGCTATACTTCCCTTAGTTTCTCCTTTTTAAAAAAAAAAAGAAACAAAGCTAATTTGCCCTGGCTGGCATGGCTCAGTTGGTTGGAGCATCATCCTATTCTCTGAAATGAAAGGTCCCAGCTTTGATTCTTGGTTGGGGCACACACCTACGCTGTGAGTTTGGTCCCAGTCAGGGGACATATAAGAGGCAATAGACGTTTCTCACAACAATGTTTCTCTCCCCCCCCCGCCTCTAAAATCAGTGAGCATGTCCTCGGGTGAGGATTAAAAAAGCAAAGTTAAACACACTCAAAGAGACACTGAGTAATGCTCTTTATATACCATATCTTCTACACACCAAGAACCTATATACTGAGCCATTTCTCCAGGAGGAGAGAAGAAAACAAAAGACATGAGGGAATTATCATCCTTACCTGGCAGTCATAAAAAGGGTGACCCCGCCAGCACATCACATCCAGCACGTAGTAGGTCTGCTTTGCTTCACTGTAAATGCAGTCCAGAATGGTGTAGTCTGGGACACAATGCAGAAAGTCGTTACAGGGTACCCCTCCAATCAGCGTCCCTACAACACAATCTAGGGAGCCGCATCTTAGGGCTTGGGAACTGAGTCCAACAATCCTTGATGCTTGCAGCAAGCACCAGCCCTGAGGAACCAGAATTCAGTAGGGAGCGCACCCTTCATGATGCACCTGAAGGGTGAGCTGGAGCAGCACAGCACAAGAGGGATCCACGCAACCCTTAAGCCAAGTGGAAATTCTGAACTTTAGATAAGTTGGGACACTTACTCACCTTAGAGAAGATCAACTTTACAACTATTTTTAAAGATTTTATTTACTTATTTTAAGAGAGAGGGGAGGGGAAGGAGAAAGAGAGGGAGAGAAACATTGATGTGAGAGAGAAACATTGATGGGTTCCCTCTCGTTTAGACCCCAACTGGAGACCAAACCTGCGACCTAGGCATTTGCCCTGACTGATTATCAAATCAGTGAGCTTTGCTTTGTGGGACAATGTCCAACCAACTGAGCCACACTGATCAGGGCTACAACTAATTTTTGAGTTCCTATCCAGGGCACTGTGTTATATGGGGATATTAGCTGTTAGTCCCTGCCTTTTAGGAAGTTACAATCCAGTTAAGGAGATAAGATGATCACAGAGGAAAGAACCAAGAGATGAATTACATAACCCTGACTGGTGTGGCTTAGCTGGTTGAGTATCATCTCACAAAGCAAAGGGCTGCCAGTTTATCCCCTGTCAGGGCACAAGTGTGGGTTCTGGGTTCAGTCCCTGGCTGGGGAACACATGGGAAGCAACCAACGGGTGTTTCTCTCACACAGTGATGTTTCTCTTTCTCTCTCTTTCTTTCTTCCTCCCTAAAGAAATAAAGAAAGAAAGAAAGTAGTATTTTTTTAAAAAGAGAGAGATCACCCTGGCTTGTGTGGCTCAGTGGATTGAGCACTGGCCTGGGAATCGAATGGTCACCAGTTAGATTCTTAGTTCGAATCCCAGTCAGGGCTGGGTTACAGGTCAGCTGGGGGCACAGGAGAGGCAAACGATCAATGTTTCTCTCCCTCTCTTTCTCCCTGCCTTCCCCTTTCTCTAAAAGTAGATGGTAAAATCTTTTTTTTTATTTTTAAAGAGAGAGAGAGATGAACTATATAGCACAAACTGAGAACAGTGGGAATTCCATTAAAAAAGAGGGATTGGAGCAAGCAGGAAATGCTTCATTAAAGACATGTGATATGAAGAGTCTTCTGTGATAAGAGAATTAAAACAATAGTGCAGAGGGGAGGTGGGAGGCATTCCAGGCCAGATTACTGAAGTTGCATGAGCAAAGGCCCAGAGGTAGAATACATTGTGTACATGTAGGGAGTAAGGAGGCAAACCAGATGAACAGAGCTAATGATGGATATGGAAAGTAGGGAAAAGATACAAGGATGGGTGGACCAAAGCCAATGTGTGAGGGGCTCTAAAAGTCAACCGAGAAGTCTGAGCTCAGTATGGAGGATATGAGGAACCATAAAGGGAGCTGAGCGGGCAGGGAAGAGAGCAGGGTTCAGCCCAGGGTCCTTGCTGAACAACCATTAGCAAATTATTTAACCTCCATGATATAGTCCCCTCAGATAAGCTCTGGTGGGAGGGGAAAGCTTAGGTTAGGTTAGGATAACAATAAAGGAGAAAAGGGAATTTGGCAAAGAAGCCCCAGCAACAGCTTACTGTACATTACAGTCTGCCACGTCCACTGCCGCGTCCACTGTTGGATCCCTCTCTCCGTGACAAGGTCCTGAGAGGGGGTGTAAGACTTCAAGGAAGCAGTTTCCAACCTGGTGGATGTGGCATGGAAGGCCTTGCAATACCTATTGTGATTGTGCTTGCTTTGGGGATCATGACCCTTTTTGCTTTCATCATTATGAATACCCTGGCAGTGATTCAGATAGTGGGCCTGGACCTTTCCCGGCTCAATGAACAGAATAATAATATCATACTAGAACATCAGGGAATATAGGCACAAGGAAACAACCAGAACAATCTGAGAATTCAAGCTTAATCAATAACAGATCATTGGAAAAACACCCAAGATAAATTAGAATACTCTAGGAAATCAGATGATCTCACTACTTTCTTAGAGGGTATCGAAGTACAAAACATGTCTATAAAAGAACTCCTAGAGAAACTTAAAAGAAGTACCCTTGAAAGCCCCCTGCAACATAGGAATAGCCCCTCCTTTACCTTGAATAAGAATATATATCAACTAGACAGGCAAAGAAATAACAAAAGCTAGTTAGTTATTACAAACTAAACAGTCACTAGGGACTGTCACTAGAATTTATAGTACACAGAAAAACATTTTAAGCAAAAAAAAAGGTAGATAGCTAAGTTAGACATCACAAGGGCCTTATAATAAATCTCCTATTTTCTCTACTCAATTTAGCGTATCCTTATGCCCTATACCAAATCCTGAGAAACTTTAATATACAATAAGATATTTCTAATTGTCTGATTAATGGCTCTCCTAGTTAAAATAATCTTTAACTAAATCTATGGGAACTTTTGTACTTTTACTGATTACCTTTGTATTGATTTTTTCTGCTTAAATGATCATGTTATACTGCAAATATTAATCACTACCTGAAATGAAAATATAAAACCCTGCTTGTACTTGCAATAAATGGAACAGAGCTTCACTGTCCTTTGAGGCGTGTTGTCGTCTGTTACCCAGCGCTGACGCCTACCCTCACCTGTGGGACCCCTTGACCCGCTGCGGCTGGACCGCGGCAACAGTCAGCATTCTGAGGGACCTTTCCCCAACTGCAGCTATCAGCTTATAATGGTGGTTCATGGGAAAGGCATGTTGATTTTCATTCAGGGATATTTTGGCCCAGCAGGCTTCACTGGGCTGCGTCTATTCTGCAGCTGAGGAGGGCAGACATTGAAGAAGATGGCCTAAGTCCAGTGGAAGGACAGTGTCTATGCAATTTCAAAGGTATGCTTTCAAAGTTGGACTTTAAAACAACTGACAGAGCAACTTACACTATCTTTTACTGATTATAAGACATAATAATTATAAAGCTTAGAAAAAAAGAGTTCCGGCAAGATGGAGGTGTAAGTAGAAACAATTAACTTCCTCACACAACCAAAAGAAGGATAACAAACAATTTAAAAACAATAAACAGCCCTGGCTGGTATAGCTCAGTGGATTGAGTGCAGGTTGCGAACCAAGGGGTCACCAGTTCGATTCCCAGTCAGGGCACAGGCCTGTATTCCGGGCCAGGTCCCTGGTACAGGATGCACGAGAGGCAACCACACATCGATAATCCTGTCCCTCTCATTCTCCTTCTCCTCGCTTTTCTCTAAAAATGAATAAATAGAATCTTAAAAACAACAACAACAATAAACAACCAGAAGTGCAAGAAAATCGAACTGCATAAAACTCTGACAACCAAGGAGTTAAAGAAACATTCACCAAGACCAGTAGGAGGGCGGAGACAGCAGATGGGCAGCTGAGCAGAAAGGACGCATGGCAAGGTGGCCGACGGCATGGGTGAAGTGGGGCTGGCTGAACGGGAAACTAAAGCCTCAGAGCTAGCTGTAAACTGCTGCAGGGGTTGTGACAGAGGGAGAAACTCCCTATCTCACAGGAGAGTTCCTTGGAAAGGGGCTAGAGTGGAGCAAGTGAGCAGCATTGTTCCCTCTCTGACTCCTCTCCTACAGACAGTGGCACAACCCAGCAAAGAGGGTTGCCCCACCCTAGTGAATATCTAAGGCTCCAATCCCTTACAACATCACAGGTGTGACAAGCCAAAGATATGTGGCCCAAATGAAAGAAAAGATAAAAACTCCACAAGAAGAGCTAAGCATTGAGGAGAGAGACACCCTATCTGATGCAGAGTTCAAAGCACTGGTAATCACTGCCAGGATGGAGGTATAGGTAGAAGAAACCCTTTACTTCCTTGCACAACTAAAAGGAAGACTGCAATCAATCTAAAACCAATAAACAACCAAAAGCGCCAGAAAATCAAACTCCATGGAACTCCAACCACCAAAGAATTAAAGAAAAAATCAACCAGAACAACCAAACCAGTAAGGCGATGGACCATGTAAGCCAACTCAGAAAAACTGCTGCAAGGTGGCAGGCTATGTGCGCAGGGCTGACTGAAGGTGAAACTGAGACTCAAAGTCGACTGCGGACTACTGCAATTGCCGCGGTGGGAATAACCCCCAGTCTCACACGAGAATCCATTGGAAAGTGTGCTAGAGATGAGCAGGCCAGCTGCATTGTTCCCTCTCTGGCCCCTCCCCCACAGGCTGCGCCACAGCACAGCAAGGAGACTTGCCCTGCCCTGGTGAATACCTAAGGCCCCCCCCCCCCCTTACAACTTGACAGGTGCACAGAGACAAAGAACTAGGGCCCAAATGAAAGAACAGAGCAAAACTCCAGAAAGAGAACTAGGCAATGAGAAGATACCCAACCTATCTAATGGGGAATTTAAGGCCCTGGTAATCAAAATGCTCACAGAACTGAATGAGCTTGGTTGAAAAATGAAAGAACAAATGAGAAATACCCAAAAATGAAATAAAGCAAAATATTCAGGGAACCAACAATGACAGGAAGGAAACCAGGACTCAAAGCGATGATTTGGAACAAAAGAAAAAAACATCCAACCAGAAAAAAAGAAACATGAATTCAAAAAAGTGAAGAAAGTCTTACAAACCTCTGGGACAGCCTAAAATGTCCCAATATCTAAATTACAAGGGTGCCGGAAGGAGAACAACAGCAAGAAACTGAAAACTTATTTGAAAAAATAATAAAGGAAAACTTCCCCAATCTGCCAAAGGAAAAAGACTACCAGGAAGTCCAGGAAGCTCAGAGAGTCCCAAAGAGGAACACACCAAGGCACATCATCATTAAGTTACCCAAGATTTAAGATAAGGAGAGAATCTTAAAAGCAGCGAGAGGAAAGGAGACAGTTACCTACAAAGGAGTTCCCAGAAGGCTATCAGCTGATTTCTCAAAGGAAACCTTACAGGAAAGAAGGGGTTGGAAAGAAGTATTCGAAGTCATGAAAGGCAAGGACCTACATCTAAGATGACTCTATCCAGCAAAGCTTTCATTTAGATAGAAGGGCAGATAAAGTGCTTCTCAGAGAAGGTCCAGTTAAAGAAGTTCATCATCACTAAGCCCTTGTTATATGAAATGTTAAAGGGAGTTATCTAAGAAAAAGAAGATCAAAAACCACAAACAGTAAAATGACAACAAATTTGTAACTATCAACAACTGAATCTAAAAAACAAAAACAAAAACAAAAACTAAGCAAACAACTAGAAAAGGAAGAGAACCAAAAAAATGAACAACACACAGAGAGTTTTCAGTGGGGATGCAGAGGGGAAGAATGAGAGGGAAGGTACGGGGAATAAGAAGCATAAATGGTAGGTACAATGTAGACAGGGGGAGGTTAGGAATAGTACAGGACATGCAGAAGCCAAAGAACTTCTATGGACAATCCGCAGACATGAACTAAGGAGGGGATTGCTGGAGGAAGGGGGGTTACCAGGCAGAGGGGAGCAAAGGGGGAAAATTGGGACAGTTGTTCATAGCACAATTAATAAACTATATTTAAAAAAACTTTAAAAAAGAATTTTATGCAGGTACCTTTTGCTGTTGTTGAGTTTCGCCTGTTGCCCCCTGGCAGAAGCGAAGGAAACTTATTGACGCAGTAACCACTCTTGGTGTAGGCACTGGTAGAACCCTGTTTGGAAAGAAAGATACCATTCTCATTAGGTTTCTGGTCTCCTCACCCGCTTGCTTCCACACTCTGCAGGGGAGCTATTAGCCCAAAATGGCTCTCAAAAAATCTTCCTGAAGGAAAGTGTTTCAGTGCTCATGCCAGGCAGAGCTGCTGAGGCACATGAGGAATATGGAATGCAAAGAATCTCTCTTGTGCCCTGGTTCAATTAGCCCAACTAACCCCACAATTAGTTGGAGCATCACTCCATACACCAAGAGGTTGTGGGTTTGATCCCCAGTCAGGGCACATACCTAGAGGTTGCAGGTCTGATACCCGGTTGGGGGTTATATGGGAGGCAATTGATCAATGTTTCTCTCACATTGATGTTTCTCTCTCTCTCTCTCTCTCTCTCTCTGCCCCCCCTGTCCCTCTCCCTCTCTCTCTCTCTCAAATCAATAAATATATCCTTGGGTGAGGATTTAAAAAAAAAGGAATCCCTCTTGCTACAGACTGGGGAGGTGGCATAGAGAAAGGAGGCAGCTACTCACCCTGGAGGCCACAATAAGGGCTCTTTTTCCAACAGGGCACACGACCACAATCCACTCCTGCCCCAAATCTGAAGGGACGTCAATTAACCACTCAGAGAGCATCAACTGGCAATACAAAATATGGTGTTAAAAATTAACGGGAAAAAATCAACAAGAGTGTGCTGTTCCACTATTTACAGTAATAAAGAATCCACAGCCTACATCTACAATGAAAATACACGTTAATGAATGAGGGCAGAAAAGACTGACAGTGGAACTTCCACCCCACTTATTCTTAGCAGTCAGCTCATCTCCTGCTCAACTGATAGGATGGAGGCCACTCACTGTGAACTTGAAATTCTCACCTTCATTAACTGAATTCATACCCATTCTTACTACCTCACCCTCTGTATCCAGGTGATGGAACCCTCTTCCTTTTCTTTGTCCACCCACCTACCATTACCATAATTATGTTGTAAGGACTATACCTCAGAGATGAATAAGGTCCTTGACCTTGAAATGCTTTTAAACTAGATCCTTATTTCCCAAACTATAATGACGCAAATACTATATTAAAGGGTGTTAGGAAATCAGCCTCAAAAAGGGGGTGAGGGGAGGCTGTGGTGAAATGAATTTGAAAAGGTTAACTTCCACTCACCACTTATATTCCCTCCCATCTATATAAACTTAGGCCTATCAATTAACCCCACCGAATCTGTCATCTCCTTCCCCTTAGCCCACAAAATACTTAACCTCTATGCTTTAAAAAAACAAAAATGAAAACCTTTTATCACTTGTTGCATTTGTTAAGCTACTCCACTTTCTCCTTTTTTTCAAACTATTGCTGCTTCCCTCATGCCCGCTGCCACTCAATCTAGAACTGCTCCCCCACAAGCCCTGCTAAATGCCACAACTAACCTCCTTGCTATCAAGCATCTCTCCACACACCTCCTTATCCTCCTGTTTCCACTCCCCCTGTGATGCTACCAGGTACATCCTCCTCCTTGACACACGTCCCCCTGTCCCTGTGACACACTACTATTGTTTTTCCTCCAAATATTCCTCCGTACACTCCCCCAAACGCATAGATAATCTTCAGGAGGCTGTTTTAGGCCCCCCTTTGCTTTTTCTCTTAGATACTGCCCCCTTGTGGGTGGATTTTATCATCTACTATAGCTTCACTCTTCATTCTAAGAGGATGCCTCCCAATTGCTTTCTTTTTCACATCTAGATTTCCTTCCTGTCCCCTCCACACGTATATTTCAAGCTGGCCATTTGATACCTCTTTCTCTGTTTGTTCTCTCTCTAGCTTAGACTCAGCATATTCAAAACTAAATTCACTGCCTTCTGTTGCCCAAGTACTTCCCAACCCTGAAACACCATCCCTTTTCCTGCACTCCGTAGCCCTGTTAACTGTATCACCACGATCTCTGCTACTAAATCTTAAACCCCAGGCATAAAACACTCCCTTAAAGAAAAGTGGTAAATACATTAAAAGCATAAGCGACAAAAAATAAATTAGACTACACAAAATTTAAAACATCTGTGCTGCCAACAATACCATCAAGAAAGTGAGCTGCCCCAGCTGGTGTAGCTCAGTGGATTGAGCGTGGGCCTGCAAATCAAAAGATTACAGTTCGATTCCCAGTCAGGGCACATGCCTGGGTTGCAGGCCAGTCCCCAGCAGGGGATGCATGAGAGGCAACCATACATTGTATTTCTCTCCCTCTCTCCTTCTCTTCTCCTCTAAAGATAAATAAATAAAATCTTTAAAAAGAAAGAAAAAAAAAAAGAAAATAAGCCCTTGCTGGTGTAGCTCAGTGGATTGAGCGTGGGCTGTGAACCAAAGGGTTGCTCTTCGATTCCCAATCAGGACACACGCCTGGGTTGCAGGCCAGGTTCCCAGTAGGGGGCGTGTGACAGGCAACCACCCACTGATGTTTCTCTCCCTTTTTCTCCTTCCCTTCCCCTCTCTCTAAAAATAAATTTAGAATCTTTAAAAAAAAAACAAAACTGAAAAGAACCCAGTGATGTGACATTAAGACAGTGTCCCCTGTGCAGAAAGAAGTTCCCTCCGCAGAAGCTCATCTACTTGTGGCACTTCCAGTGACCAGGGGATGAAGGAACCCAGGAGTCACCTAATGGCAAGAGAAAATTTAGTTGATTCTTAAGTTTACTTGCACAGAAATAATAAAATTCTCTAAATTTTTCTTTTTGTTACATAAGCTATTGTGCTCAGGGGGAGGACAGAAGCTGGACAGCTGATCCGAGGCCTCCAGGACCAGGCTCTGGCGGGGGCCCACCCACTTCAGTTATTCTGGTGCCTGCAGATGTGATGCCCAGCCTGGCCAAAGGTGGGACGCCCACAGCCTCATCCCCTGTAGTACAACTCAGTCACTTCTGCAGGAAGTTCACTCGCTGAGACAAGGTTCAAGGTTCCCTTCCTTCCGCAAACCACACAGTTGAGAACTGATTTCAGAAGGACACACAATTCATTCCTGTAAAGGAAAAAGGAGCCAACGTCTGGTAGACAATATGGGTTTGGCTTGAACAAACAAGTGTTGAGTAAGTGAAGAGTGTTGCTGGTTTGAGGGATGGGGGAGAGTGTTGTCAGCCCGCCAGCCCCACCACCCCAAAACCTCGCCTATCACCAGAGTTGGCTACTGAGTGGCCAGGCATGTCCATTCACAGAAGTAGAAACCAAGGTGCTCTATCTGCATCTAGTGTTCAGCACATACCTTTTAACATATGTGTCAAGTTTGTTTCCCAGTGAGAAAGTGGAAGTCTGAATTCTGGGCCTTAGAGATACTGAGGGGTCTCCTTCCATCCAGGGCTGCTAGTAGGGCAGACCCAGCTTGTGTGAGCAGGTCTATTTTCTTAACACCTCAGCCACAAACCGCCTCTCAGAGGCTGGCAGATGGGACAGCTGTCACCTCTACGTCCAGTCTACTTCCTGTCGCTTTTCTGTTATCTTCAGGTTTTTATTTTTAATTTTTTATCCTCACCTGAAGACATTTTTTCCCATTGCTTTTAGAGAGAGAAGAAAGGAAATGGAGAGAGAGAAACAGTGATGGGAGAGAAATGCATCAATTAGCTGCCTCCTATATGCACCTGGACCAGGGACCTAACCTGTAATCCACGTATGTGCCCTGACAGGGAATCAAACTATGACCCCTTAGTTATGGGATGATGCTCCAACCAACTGAGCCACACCAGCCAGGGCTATTTTCAGGTTTTTAAAACTATATTTAACTTGTATCAAAAATAGGACTTTGACATAGCTGTCCTTAAGAAATTAATTCCACATAAGTGTTTGTGTGTTAAGGCCATAAGGCAGAAGTGAAAATCATGTCATAAAGCAGGTGTAATACGCCCCTGCCAGGACCTCTGGTCTGATGTGGCATCCCCTGCTGGGAATGTGCAGCTCGGGCTGTGGCGAAGGCCTGCGTAGGCAACTCCTCGCTGTGCGACTCAGCAGCCGTCAGCCACAGGGATGGCTGTTCTCCTCAGTAACGAAGGACAGTTGCTAGAGACAGGCCACTTTTAGCAGACTGAGAAATAGACCTCCAAGCGAGGACAGGCCCAGAGTGGGCCTCCGCCAGTCTTGAAATCCTTTACTTACACTCTGACCAAGAGCACACAACTTCCCATCATGTCAGGCCCCAGAATTTACTAAAAAAATAGGTGAAAGACGAAAAAGTATCTACAACTTGAACACCACAAGTGCTGTGGCATAATAAGAATGCTAAATTGGAACACCATCTAAACATGAAGTTAAATACACCATCAGGTGGACAAAGACCTGAACATGGCCTCTTAAAAGCAGGAGGAGCTTCCCCTGGCCAGATGTGGCTCAGTTCGTTGGAGCATCATTGCATAACCGAAGGGTTGCAGATTCGATTCCTAGTCAGGGCATATACCTAGGTTGTGGGTCCAATCCCAGGTCTGGGTGTGAAGGATTCCTGGTCCGAGCATGTATGGAAAGCAACCAATTGATGTTTTGCTCTCCTTCTCTCTCTAAAAAATAAAAAAGAAAGCAATGAAAAAAAATGTCCTTGGGCGAGGGAAAAAAATTGCAAAGTTCAATTTCAAGTATTCAAAAACTGGCAAAAGAAAAGCCACATGGTAAACATATATTTGATGTCTAAAACCCTAAGACGAGTGGTAAAGAGTGCACAGAAACAGGAGACTAAAGCCCCAGACCCAGAAGAAAGATGGATTCATACTTTAGCATCTGGCCCAGTGAGACTCATCATCACATTATTTCTGACCTGTTTCTCTTAGCAGTGTTTCCCTGCCGGGGCACATTTTCTATAGAGACTACATGAGAAAGAGGAAGGGAAGGAAAAAGGGAAGGAAGGGAAGGAAGAGAGAGAGAGAGAGAGGGAGGGAGGGAGGGAGGAAGGGAGGGAGGGGGAGAGAAAGGAAGGAAGGAAGGAAGGAAGGAAGGAAGGAAGGAAGGAAGGAAGGAAGAAGGAAAAAGAAAGAAAGAAAGAAAGAAAGAAAGAAAGAAAGAAAGAAAGAAAGAAAGAAAGAAAGAAAGAAAGAAAGAAAGAAAGAAAGAAAGAAAAGAACGAACAACCCACAGCATGGGAGGAAGGAAATACTTGTAAATCACTTATCTGATAAGAGACTTGTATCTAGAATAAAGAACTCTTATAACTCAATAAAAGACAAATAATGTAATATAAAAATGGGCAAAAGACCCTGGGTGGTGTGGCTTAGTGGATTGAGTGCCAGCCTGTGAACCAAATGGTGGCAGGTTTGAATCCTAATCAGGGCACATGCCTGGGCTGCAGGCTAGGCCCCCAGTAGAAGGCACAAAAGAGGCAACCACACATTGAAGTTTCTCTTCCTCTCTTTCCCCCTCCCTTCCCTTCGGTCTAAAAAAAATAAATGAATAAAATCTTTTAAAAAATAAAAATAAAAGTGGGCAAAGGATACACATTTTTCAAAAAAGATATAGAAGTAGCTAATAAGTACATGAATAGATGCTAACTATCTTTAGTTATTAGGGAAATGCAAATCAAAATCATGAGATACCATTTCACATCCACTAGGATGGCTATACTTAAAAGGACAGACAAAAGTATTGACATACACATGGAAAAATTGGAACTCTCATATACTACTGGTGAGAATATAAAATGGTACGATCATTTTTGGAAAACGCTCTGGCCGTCTTCAAAAGATTAAGCATGGTTCCCATCTGTCTGAGTAATTCTACTCCCAGGTATACACCCAAAAGAAATGAAAACATGATCACACAAAAACTTGTAAAGGAATGTTCATAGCAAGCCATAAGAGCCAAAAGGTGGAAACAACTCAAATGGCCATCAATTGATGGCTGAATAAACAAAGTGTGATTACAAAAAATTACACATGCTGTAACACAGATGAACTTTGAAAAACTTACGCTGGAGTTCTGGCCAAGATGGAGGCGTAGGTAGAAGTGCTTTGCTTCCTCAAACAACCAAAAGAAAGATAACAACCAATTTAAAAACAAAAAACAACCAGAAGTGCTAGAACATCAAACTGTATGGAATTCTGATAACCAAGGAGTTAAGGAAACCCTCATCCAGGTAAGAGGGGTAGAGATGGGTAGTGGGACAGAGAGGACACGCAACAAAACAGTGGACTATGCTAGTAAGGCATGGGCTGGCTGAGCGGGCTATTCCACATTTGCGTACAGGTAAGCCAGGAGGAATGAATGGGGAGTGAGATAGTCCCTGAAACCCAGAGTTTCAGTGCAGGAAACTAAAGACTCAAAACCTCTGGCTGTAAAAAAATCTGTGGGGGTTGCAGTGGTGGGAGGAACTCCAAACCTCAAGAGAGTTCGTTGGAGAGGCTCACGGGGTCCTAGAATGTACTTAAACCCACATACCTGTGAATCAGCACCTGAAAGGGCACAATCCACTTGTGGAAATCAAGGGAAGTCATAGAAAGTGGGATGAGAGCTGAGCAACTGGCATTGCTCCCCCTTTGATCCCTCTCCCACACAGAGTGCCACAAGGCATCAACATGGGTTGCCCTATTGGCGGAATACCCAAGGCTCTGCTCCTTATAACATATCAGGCATATGGAGACAAAGAAATATGTCCCAAATGAAAGAATAGATCAAAACTCCAGAAAAAGAACTAAGTGAGGAAGAGAGAATCAACCTATCACATACAGAGTTCAAAACACTGGTAATCGGGATGCTCACAGAAGTCACTGAGCTTGGTTGCAAAATGGAGAGAGGAAGGCTATCCAAAGCAAAATAAAGGAAAATATACAGGGAACCAACAGTGAAGGGAAGGAAACTGAGACTCAAATCAACAATTTACACCAGAAGGAAGAAATAAACATCCAACTGGAACAGAACGAAGAAACAAGAATTCATAATAATGAGCAGAGGCTTAGGAACCTCCAGTACAACTATAAAAGTTCCAACATCTGAATCATAAGGGTGCCAGAAAGAGAAGAGGAAGAGCAAGAATTGGAAAACTTATCTGAACAAATAATGAAGGAAAACTTCCCCAATCTGCCAAAGGAAACAGACTTCCAGGAAATCCAGGAAGCTCAGAGTCCCAAAGAAGTTGGACTCAAGGAAGCCTTGGCACATCAAAATTACATTACCCAAGATTAAAGATAAGGACAGAATCTTAAAAGCATCAAGAAGAAAGGAGACAGTTAACTACAAAGGAGTTCCCATAAGGCCATTAGCTGATTTCTCAAAAGAAACCTTACAGGAAAGAAGGGGTTGGAAAGAAGTATTTGAAGTCATGAAAGGCAAGGACTTACCTCCAAGATGACTCTATCCAGCAAAGCTATCATTTAGAATAGAAAGGCAGATATAGTGCTTCCCAGAGAAGCTCAAGTTAAAGGAGTTCATCATCACCAACCCCTTGTTATATGAAATGTTAAAGGGACTTATCTAAGAAAAAGATGATTAAAAATATGAACAATAAAATAGCCCTGGCTGGTGTAGCTCAGTGGATTGAGCACGGGCCTGCGAACCAAAAGATTGCGGTTCGATTCCCTGTCAGGGCACATGCCTGGGTTGCAGGCCAGTTCCCAGTAGGGGACTCACGAGAAGCAACCATACATTGACATTTCTCTCCCTCTCTACTTCCTTTCCCTTTTAAAGATAAATAAATAAAATAAAAAAAAATAGATATATAAACAGTAAAATGACAACTGACAACTATCAACAACTGAACCTAAAAAAAAAAAAACTAAACAAATGACTAGACTAGAAACAGAATCACAGAAATGGAGATCACATGGGGGGTTATCAGTGGGGACAGGGGAAGAACGGGGTGAAAGGTACAGGGAAAAAGAAGCATAAATGGTAGGTACAAAATAGACAGGGGGAGGTTAAGAATAGTATGGGAAATGTAGACGCTAAAGAACTTACATGTACGACCCATGGACATGAACTATGGAGGGGGTGCTGCAGAATGGGGGGCAGGGTGCAGGGAGGAAAGGGAGAAAGGGGAGAAAAAAATTGTAACTGAAATAGCATAATCAATAAAATGTACTTTAAGCAATTTAAAAAATATTTTATCTATCTATCTATCTATCTATCTATCTATCTATCTATCTATCTATCTATCTATCTATCTATCTTTAGAGAGGAAGGGAAGGAGGGAGGGAGAGAAACATCAATGTGTGTGGTTGCCTCTTGTGAGTCCCCTGCCCGGAACTGGCCTGCAACCCAGGCAGGTGCCCTGACTGAGAATCGAACCATTATTGTGTGGTTCGCAGGCCCGCGCTCAATCCACTGAGCTATACCAGCCAGGGCTTACTTTAAGCAATTTTTTAAAAGAAAAAGAAAAACTTATCTGAGTGAAAGAAGCCAGATACAAAAGGATACATCTCCTATGATTCCAATTACATAAAATGTACAGAATAGGTAAATCCGTAGAAACAGAAGGGAGATTAGTGATTGCCGGGAGCCGGGGGGGGGGGGGGGGGGGGGGGGGAGGAGGAATGGAGATGGACTGCTAATGGGTATGAGGTTTCTTCTGGGATGGTGAAAATGGTCTGGAATTAGCGGTGATGGCCGCACAGCCCTATGAATATACTAAAAAACACTGGATTGTACATCGGAAATGTGTGAATTTGTGGTAGGTGAATTATATCTCAATATGGCTGTTAAAAAAATAGTAGCAGCAACTAACACTCACAGGGTATTTATGTTACACTATCTCATTTAATCCTCCTAATAATCCTGAATCAAGCACCATTTTACAGATAAGAAACCCAAGAGACTTAGAGTGGTTAAGTCACTTGCTCAAGGTCAACAAAGAACCTAGCTTTGAGGTCAGTTCAGAGTTTAAATCTTTAATTGCTTTTCACAGTGCCTCTTCTACCCACTGCTAAATTCTGTCCACTCTTCCTGGCAACATTTTGACATTTCTTATACCCACGACCTCATTTCCCTCCCACCTTCTCTGCCCATCATCAGACCGTTTTAGAAAACCTAAGCTCCCTATTGCTCTCCAGACCCTTCTACACATTGACGTAGGTGTCATCACATGAAGTCCCAACTGTCCCTGGCTCAAAGTTCTCAGTGGTTCCCCACGACCTAAAACACAGGTGAAACTTCTGCATGTATTTCTACACTATCTTCCCTCCACCCTATGCTGTCCCATTCTCACTGCTCCCGAACACACCATACACTCCTCTCCCACCTCTGGGCTCCTATTCAGAATGTTCCTACTGCCTGGAATGCCCTGCACTTCTGCCTATGGATGTCCTACCCATGCTTCAAAGCTGGCCCCTTGTTTATTAACTTTCTCCTGATTTCACAATCCTGCTTTCTTGCCTGTTGGAAGTTAACCTCACTTTCTTACAGCAAAAACCATAACCAACACTTACTCTAGAAGTACAGGAATATTTCTGACCCATGTCTACCTCCTCCACAGCACAGCCTAGCTTAACACAGGCCTTCAACAATGCTTGCTGAACAGAACTACATTACGCTGTCATAGAGGATGTTCTCTGTGCTGTATTTGGAGCAGAGATGATGGATGGGAGGGTATGCACTCAGGAACCATATTCTAAAGGCAGAAGAGGATTCTCAGGTGACAAGACACTTAGGTTACCGAAAGAAGTATACAATAGCAGGGTAGACCCCTGCCCCTACTAGGTCGCTACCCTGCCTTCTGGATTACCTACACTGCCTAGAGCAATGGACAATCTCCCTGCCTGCTTCCCCCATGGCGCCAGAAGCCACACTAGTTTCCTCTCTTGAACCAACAGGGCACTTAGTTAAGTTTGTGACAGCGATCTGTTATTTCATGGTCTCAGCCCCACACAGGCCAACTGGATGGCCTGGGATGGCTGCTCAGGCTCCTTATATTCAAACGCAGCTCTACCTCCCATCTTCCACCATGTGAATGTGAAGATCCAAAGCTGACATCTTAGTCCACTGCTTGGAAAAGGCTAGGTGTGCTGTGCTGTGCTGTGCTGGGCTGGGCTGGGCTGGGCAGGTCCGATCCAGGACAGCTGGAATGACTACTAAAGAAGTGCATGGAATCCATTAGTCTATGAGAAGCGAGCCTGCGTTAATGGTTCCCAAACCCACTATTCAGTTTTCATCAGTGATCCCTGGTCAGCACATGGCACTGAAAACCATCTCTTCTCTTCATCTGTAAACTTTCTAAACATCAGCATTTTCTTTGCAGGTCTCATTCCTTTTTTCCGCCTCCTCTTCCTCCTATCTTTATAGCAACATTTATTTCAGTGGGGTTTGACTGCATGGTAAAGGGAGTGGGAATAGCTAGGCCTAATCTTCTCTGGAATACTCACTTGATTAGCATAGTGCTTTGGTAACTTCTTGGGAGTGTCAATGTCCATTTCTTCATCATCTTTCTTATCTTCTTCTTCCTCACTCTCTATCCCTGTCCAGTCATCTTCAGCCAGTCTTCTGGCGTGGTTCACATAATCCAACCGCTTTCTGGAAAAAGAAAAGGCATACATGCCCTGGCTGATGTGGTTCAGTGGACTGAGCACTGGCCTGTGAACCGAAGGTTTGCCAGTTCAATTCCCAGTCAGAACACATGCCTGGGATGTGGGCCAGGTCCCTGGCTGGGGGCGTGCGAGAAGCAACCAATATATGTTTCTCTAACACGTCATACTTCTCTCCCTCTCCTTCTTCCTCCCTTCCCCTCTCTAAATAAAAATTCTTTTTTTTAAAAGAAAAGTTATACAGACAGATCTATATGTCTTATAGAAAGACACCTTACAATGTGACACATTGATTAAATTCAAAGGCTCCAAATTCAGGAAAAATTGGGGGATTCTGATGGGAGTAAGAGATAACAGAATTTCCTCTGTAAAGCTAAACCAGTGACCGCCTCCTTGCAGGTCCTAAACAGGACACCCACTCTGAACACACACAGCCTTCCTCAGAGTTTCCTTCGAATGAGCAAAGTAAAATATTTAAAGAAACTTTCAAGGCTCACTAGCTGGAAAGACTGACCTCACTCCAACCTCCAACCCAGCTGACAGCTGACACTTGTCTGTCTGGCAGATATCTAGTCCAAAGGCTGCCAAGGACTGAAGAGAGGAATTACTAAGATGCAGTGAGGATGTTAAAACAAGGACAGCTTTGGGGACTTTTCACTTTATACAGTTTTCTGAGAAGAAGCCAGACCTTTCTCTAGCTCCTAACTTTAAAAAAAAAAACATTTAGTTTATAATTTAATGTCTTTTACTTATTTCTTTCCCTTCATTGTTATCTTCCTCTTTTTAAAATACTATATATTGGCCCTGACCAGTATGGCTCAGTTGGTTGAGCATCGTCCCACAAAGAAAAAGATCGCCAGTTTGATTCCCACTCAGAGCACATGTCTGGGTTGCAGGCACATGCAGAAGGCAATCAATGAATGTTTCTCTCTCACATCAATGTTTCTCTCCCCCTCTTTCTCTCTACCCTCCCCTCTCTCTAAATAAATAAATAAAACCTTTAAAAAGAACCCTACACATTGTAGAAAGTTTAGGAAAAGACAAGGAAGAAAAACAATTTAATTGTTCCAAAGTGATTTGTAGATACCACATAACTTCCTAACCTTGGTTTCTTCAATGCTAAGGCCAAGAGATCAAGCACTGAGGGAATGAGACCAGCTCAACTGGTTTCTTCTCACACACACATGTGTTCGTGCACACCAGAGAGCATATGCAAGCACAATGCTCTTTTGTTTCAACAATAAGGGAGAGCTGGTATACTTGTACATGTGCAAAAGGGTACGTTTCTGTGGTTATTTCCTAAGCACTGTCTTAAGCACTACAGAAGGAAACTACCCAGATGCTTGTTTGTAGGGGACTGCTTGGATTGAACTGTCCGTTCAATGGAATACCTGGCACTTTATGAACTGATACAAAACCTCTGCAAAATACCACTGTTAACTAAATGTGCAGAACAGTGTACCATACACTCTACTTCTGTTTAAAAAAAAAAAAGGTTGCCACACACTTGTTCATACAGCAGAGAATATCTTTGCAAGGATACGCAAGAAACTAATAATATGGGAGAGGAACTGGATGGCTGGGGACAGAATTAGGAGGAAGACTTTTCACCAATTATTTTGCAACAGGTAAAATATTCACTAAATGTATTCCTAGTTCGAAATTCAAAATATATAAATTATAATTTTCATTAAAAGGGGTGGTGGGGATGATCTGAGAATGTAATCTCCAAGTAGCCCAGAGGCCAGGGGAACTACTTCTGCTAAATACACCCAGTGATACTGTACTGGGCAAATACAGCTCTTAATAGCTGCTCTTGACTTTCAATTCCTTGTGGTTACCCAGAAGAGGCCCATGTTGCTCTGAGAATAGAAAGACAGGCCCTACATTCAGAGCAGACCAGCATTAAACATTTCTATCCTGTTCTCTTTCCCTGTGTGCTCATCTGGACACTGAGAATGACATGTATGGAAGACATGTCCTCAGGTTCCCTGTGGAATTATTTGTCTGGAACTCCCAAGAGCTCCACAGAAACATGTGGACTGCAGGCAGACAGGAAGACCACACCACTGCCAGGATTCAGAATGTGGGAGAAGCTACACAGGGACTGTGGGGAGTAGAAGTCTGGGTGTGACTTTCACAAGTCCATAAATTACAAAGCTCAGTCCTGCTGCCAGGGTAAAAAAAAGAAAAATTTTACCAAATAGCTGAACTTTACTTTTAAACTTCCTCATCTTTTCCTAAGCTCTGGGTGTAAAGGACACCTACCTCTGCCAGGATTTACTGCTCCCAACCTTGTGGACAAGATGATAAACTTACAAAGGGTCTACTTTGAAGGTGGTTCTACAGAAGCAAGCCTAGAACCTCCTGAACAGTTAATAATGCCCACCCTAGAAAAAAAAGCCAGGGAGTTAAAGCACCCCTTACAATTTCTGCAGTTCCAATAACCGGCGGCGTCGCTCACTCTGCTCCAAGGTACTGTACTTGGATTTGTACTGGGACAGGCGGGGGTGTGGGGCAGCTGTGCTATTCAGGTCTTGAGACACCGAAAAGCTACTAGCTAGGGCTTGACTCAGCTCTTCCATTTTCCCTACAAAGGAAAACATAAGAAAACGGTTCATTCATTTCATATTACCTCCTATGTACAGGTAGTTATAATGTGACATGATGGCTACATTCCTAAAAAACCTCACTTAATCCAAAATCCTAACTCTTTTCATGGGAAAATGAAAGTTAAAGGCTACAATGAGTTACAGCTGAGCAATTACATTATTTCTTGCAGATATTTCAATAATGCTCCTTCTGATAGTTCTGAGTGTATAAATTTAACCATTAGTCACTAAGCAAACTCACCTGTGACTGAAGCTAACTTTTGCTCATTGTCATCCATCACCATGTCATTAATTCCTTCTTACCATCATTGTTACCCAGTGATGTGATCAAGTACTTAATTTTTTTCCTTAATAGTTCTAACTAGTCATTACTTATTAACTAATATAACTTTCTGGTGCAAAGTTTACTCAATTGGTTGTTACTCTCTAATAAATTACAATTCATATTAAGAAGATTTAGCTCCAGGAAAAATACTGGTTCTGGGGTCCCTGGAAGAAGACAAAAGAAGCCAAAAACCCACACCTGGCAGTTACTTTCTCATTTTCTACTTTATTTGTTTGGGACGGGCAGAAGAAAGGTTTCAGGACTACCTGTGTAGGACTCACTTGAAAAATGGTAGCTAAAGAAACAAAAACAATGATAGAACGTGGAAGGCTTTCTACTGGCTAATACCATGTGCTACAGAAACGTGAAGGACGGGCCCTGGCCTGGCTGGTATGGTTCAGTTGGTTGGAGTGTCTTCCCATAAACCAGAAGGTTGAGGGTACAATTCCCAGTCAAGGCACATCCCTGGGGTGCAGGTTCAGTCCCAGGTAGGGGCGCAGATGAGAGGCAACTGATTGGTGTTTCTCTCTCTGTCTCTCTTCCTCCCTTCCCCTCTCTCTAAAATCAATAACCATGTCCTCCAGTGAGGATAAAAAAAAGTGAAGGACTGATGTACATTTGGGAGAACAAAGAGCAGAGGTCATATCAGAGAGTGACTACCCAGGTAGATCCTAAAGAATGAAAGTGAAGAGAAAGAGGTGAATTCACACTTCAATCACTCTCTTGTGATTAAAGGTATAAGGTGGCAAATTTAGCCTAACAGTTAAAGGTGTGCCTCAGAAGGTAAGAAAATAAAACATTTGAGAGAAGTCTGATTCACAAGCTGCACTGGCTTAGCCCTTCAGTTCTAGTGGGCATTACAGTGCTTAAAGCCCACCTCAGGCCAGGTCCCACTGCTTGGAGAACTGCCAACTAACAGGTCCATTCCAGAGCCTCTATAGTTAAAAATACAACTTCATGGGCCTCTACTTGGCAATGACTTACTTTCCATTGTGCATTGGAAATCAGATATTTTTTCTCAATTTTCATCACTGCATTTTTTTATTTGAAAGGAGCTCTTATTAAAAATTGTGGTTAATGGAACACTACTCAGCTGTACACCATTTGGGACAGCATGGATGGACCTGGAAAGCATTATGCTAAGTGGAATAAGCCAATCAGAGAAAGACAAATACCATATGATGAACAAAATAGAGACACTTATAGAGAGCAGGCTGACAGCTGAGGGATGGGGAGGTTCTGGTTGAGGGGGTGGATGGATTGAGCAAAAAAGAAGAAAAAAGAAAAAACTCAGACACTGACAACAGTGTCGTGGTTGCAAAGGAGTGGAGGAGGGTATGAGGGAGGGATAAATGGTGATGAAAGGAAACTTGTCCTGGGGTGGTGAAGACACAATACAGTGTACAGATGATGTACTGTGGAACTGTGCATCTGAAACCTGTGTAATTTTGTTAATAGTGTCACCCCAATGAAGTCAATAAAGAGGTAAAAAAAAGGGAAAGAGCTTAAAAAAAACAGTGGTTAGAAAGTCATGACATAAAACTTACCATTTTACCCTACCAAACCCAAACAAACAAAAATTACCATTTTAATCATCTTTAAGTATACAGTTCAGTAATATTAAGTACATTCACATTTTAGTGCGATCGATTTCCAGAACTCTTTTCATCTAGCAAAACATAACCCATTGAAATGAACATATTATCTCTGTTGATTTGAGGCTTAACACACTTGTAATGCAACCAGGGTGGTCATTTGTGGTTGAGGCTAGATGATGAGTAGCTGGAAACCATAACGGTGTGCTACTTTCTGTATTTTTCTCTACTTCTGTATAAGTCTGAACACTTCCATAATAAAAGCTGTGGATTCCTGCTGTACCCAGGACCACAAAAATCCTTAATTATAGCTTTTAATACTTGGAAGTATCCAATAGTACTATCGGATACTATTGGAAGTATCCATAGTACTCCCTGTACTATTCTTGGCTGGCTCCTGCTTTGTGAACCCATTCCTCTTCAAGGGTTCTCACCTGAACCGGGATGAGCCCATGCTCCAGATGCTTCTGCGTCCTACTAACTCCCAAATTTCCAACTCACCCATGCCCCTCCCCTGCGCTCCAGCGCCGCGCGCGACACCAGCGTCCCCCTACTCGTCCACCGAGGTCCCAGCCGCGCATCTCCAGCCCGGGTCGAGGCCCTCTGGGCATCTCTCACCGAGCTTCTGTCCACTCCAACTTCTGTCTCCGCCACTGCCTTTCCCTCGGGATGGGGCCGTAATGGCCTTGCGGGATTCCCCCTTACCCCGGCCCCACCGCCCGGACCAGAAGAGTGGAGGGCCTGGCTGGCTCCGCCTCTGAAGGGGAGACTTCGGGAGGCTAGGAGTGCAGCGCCGGCCGCAGCAAGTCAGAGCCGGCACCGAGGGGCAGATCGAGCTGGTGGGTCCCAGGCTCGAACCAGAGCTCACCCGGCGGAGGTGACAGTTCCAAGTGCCTAGTCGCCTTCGCCTGCCGTCGCCGCTGCCGCTGCTGCCGCCGCCAGGAGCCAGCCAATCAATTGCCTGGAAAAGACGGCCGCCTAGTCCCGGCCCACCCGCCCCGCCTAGAGGTTTCCGGCCCTTCTTCCGCCGCGCATTCTTTACAGTTTCGCCACTTCCGCCTCCGGGGGCTGAAGGTATCCTCGGCTCCTTGCTGCCGTTCGGGTGCAGTGTCTGGGCCTCCCTGCTTCCTTGTCCGGGAGCTCAAGCTCCTGGGCTCCTGGCGCCCACGGCCGGAGCCCCAACCTGGTCCCGGGCGTTCTGAGCCCTCCAGCTGTGGTCCTGCCCCAGAACTTCTCAGGTTGCAGGGCGCTCCTACAACCTGCTCCTCTAGGTGCCGGGTCCCTGACTATCTCTCCGCACCCCTCACACCCCCTCCCGGTTCGCCGATGCAACCCCGGAACCGGACCTGATTTCCTCTCGTGTTTGGTTTGGGAGGCTATTTCCTATCAGGTGTGGGGCTAGGCAAAGGCAGGGATGCTGATTCCTGCTTAAGTAGTGAGCATCCAGTACAAAGCTAGGGGAAGGCGCCCAAGATACAGGGCGAGCTAATCAAACTACAGGCGACCTCTACAGGAGAGGATTAATAAGAGGCGAAATACAAATAGGAATACCATTTATTGAATGCTTACATTTACCAAACACTGCCTCACATGCATTGTTTCACTTAATCTGCAAGAAACACAAGGAAGTAGAAACAAGCACAGAGAGGTTAAGTACCTTTACTAAATCACACCAACTTTTGAGCAAAATATTTGAATTTGCTGAATATCTCACCTAGAAATTGGATATTATTGTCCTACAGAAAGAAAATATACAAAGTTGGCACATTTTGAATCCAAGGTGTGGACAAAAAAAGGGGGTTTATGGAAAGTAACTTTTTCAGGGGTGATCTGATCATATATTGCTAACTGGGCAGGGCATGGTGGGTAGTCATACCTCAGGCCTATAAATTCTTTAGAGAAGTTATACTTCTGTCCCTTGTTCTGGAGCATCTAGGTTAACACACCTTTGAAATGGTAGAACTAATATGCCTTGAAAGGGATATTAACTCTCAAGAGAGGGCATAATCTTAACCATGCTATAATTTATCCCAGCCTTGCTTTCTCCAGTCTTCCTTACATCCCCTTCTTAATTTCAAATGCATAAAAGAAGATGCAAAACTGTTATTCTCAGCAGCATTTGAGAACTTGATCCCTGCATATGTGATCAGTTTGGCTCAGATAAACTCTTACATAAAATTGTCTACAGACGTGGCTGGTGTGGCTCAGTGGATTGAGTGCCCAGCCAGAACAGAAAGACTGCTGGCTTTGACTCCCGCCAGGTCACATGCCTGGGTTGTGGGCCAGGTCCCCAGTTGGGGGCACGTGAGAGGCAACCTATCGAGGTATCTATTATACATTTATGTTTCTCTCCCTTTCTTTCTCTTTCCCTTCTCTAAAATAATAAATAAGTAAAATCTTTAAAGAATGTGTCTGCCTTTAAAAAAAGAAAACAAAGAAGACAAAAAAGTGAAAGAGAAAACCAAAGAAAACCCCCAATAAATAAATAAATAAATAAGTGAAAAAATAAAATGTTGTGAGGACGTGCAGAAATTGGAACCATCGCACACTGTTGGTGGAAATATAAAATGGTGCAGCCACTATGGAAACAAATAGTGGTTCCTCAAAAACTGAACATAAAATTGCCATATGATCCAATAATGATCACTTATGAGTATACATTTGTGTATGAAAAAGGGATTCTATAATAAAACTGACAAGTCCAGTCATGGAATGTAACCTCACAGAGTAATCTGATCATCAATTCCTAATTGGACAGGTCAATGTCGGTAGTCACATTTTTTATCTCATCCTTGGGAGTGTTTGAGATCTTCTTCCCTGTAGTTGTCATGAGTTTGCCCAAATTAACTCTTGTAAAAATTCTCTACGGGTTTGAAGATTCCTTATGTCAACATAGTAAGTCCTCACTTAACTTACACAATAGGTTAAGAACAATGCGGGGATTAGGGACACTGAACCCCACCCTACCCCACTCCCCCTTCCTTTAAGCCTAATATAACTTTTTTTAAAATTTATTTTTTATTGATTATGCTGTTACAGTTGTTTTATTCCCCCCTTCATTCCCCTCCACCCTACCCCCCGGCCCCACCATTACCCCCCCTTTAGTTTATGACCATGTGTCTCAAGTTCTTTAGATTCTATATTTCCCATACTATTCTTGATCCCCCCCCATCTATTTTCTATCTACTGTCTATGCTACTTATTTTCTGTACCTTCTCCCCCCTTCTCCTCCTCCCACTCCCCTGTTGCTAACCCTCCTTGAGATCTTCATTTCTATGTTTCCACTCCTGATCTAGCTGTCCTTTTAGTTTGCTTTTGTTTTAGGTGCGAGAAGAAACACACCAAGGCACATCATCATTACATTAGCCAAGATTAAAATGAAGGAGAGAATCCTAGAAGCAGCAAGAGCTAAGGGGACAGTCACCTACAAAGGAGTCCCCATCAGACTGTCAACTGATTTCTCAAAAGAGACCTTACAGGCAAGAAGGGGCTGGAAAGAGGTATTCCAAGTCATGAAATCCAAAGACCTACAACCAAGATTGCTCTATCCAGCAAAACTTTCATTTAGAATGGAAGGACAGATAAAGTGCTTCTCAGATAAGATCAAATTCAAGGAGTTCATCATCACTAAGCCCTTATTATATGAAATGTTAAAGGGACTTATCTAAGAAAAAGAAGTTTAAAAAACATGAACAGTGAAAGGACAATAAGCCTAATATAACTTAAGTGAGCCCTCAAAATCCAAGGATTCCAAATAGAATCAAAAATATTTTTTCAATCCACAGCAGGTTGAATTCCGGATGTAAAATCCACGAATACAGATAGCTAACTGTATATTTATTGAAAAATATTTCCCCATATAAGTGGACTCCTTAGCAGCCAAATGGCACTACAATGTTACCAGCAATTGGACGTCTCAGTTCAGCAATGTTGGTACTGGAGTTCTGGCTAAGAAAGAATTCAGAGCCAAGACTCAAATACAAGCAAAAGTTTATTCAGAAAGTCACAGAGGCAGAAGTGAGGCCTGGAAGAAGTGAGCCAGCTGGGCTGCATGGGTTCAGGAAACAAGTTACAGGGGCAAAAGAAGGGCCCTTGGAACTTAGGAAAAAGAAAGGCAAAGAAAATGCACCAGGGGGAAGGAAAGAGTGAGAAAGGCAAGAGCCTGAGAGAGTTGAAAGAGGGAAAGATAGTGCCCCCCAACCCTCCCCGGGAAAGAATGGGGTGGGGAAAGGCACTTCTTGAGGGTTTTATCCACTTTCTAAGGTGGGGATCTTAGGAAATGTCTCAGGGAAGAATCTCAATGGAATACGTCATCTTTAGTTTGACCAAAACTGTGTCTCTGCGGTCAACTGACCCAGACCTGAGGCTTTGATCCTAATAATATTTGATGTGGGTCATAACCTCACTGTCCCTAGGGCTTAATGCTTAAGGGCAAGGGCTTGTGTGAGAGTCTTAAGAGACTACATATTTTGCCATATATGATGTATACTTTTTTGCTCAAATTTTTGAGGGAAAAACAAGGATGTGCATTATACTTGGGTATAATGGTTACATACCCTGGGTATAATAATGGGGTCTAATAATTTCATGTATAATGCACATAAAAACGTGGGTGCACATTATATATGGGAGTGCATTATACATGGCAAAATATGTATTTTCTAGCCCTCTAGTTCCTCCTCTAAGGGAGTCTACCACATTACTAGTGACATGCTAGGAAAGATATGGTCAGGGGAGAGTCCAAACCACATGACCAATGATATGGTCTAAACTGCATGACCAGTGATACCCTAGGAGAAGAAAGATAGCCCCAGGGGTGAAGTTCTTGTTTTCACAGTTCTGCCCATTGCAAGGTATGCAGGGCTTTCCTCACTGGTGACCTTCTACACCTGGTCTATCATGCTTGCTTTGCTCATGCCTCTCTTAACTGTCTACTACAGACCCTTGCAGTTCAAACCCATATGGTTCAAGGGTCAATTGCATAAGAAACTTAAGTTCACCATAGGTTAAGTGACATTAACAAGAGTTAAAAGTTTCTAGGCCATGTCGATGTCACAACAAAATGACAATGAATGACAGAAAGAAAACCTATGTACCCAAAAGAATTAAAAGCAGGGACTCAGATATTTGTATGTACATGTTCATAGCAGCATTATCTGAAATAGCTAAAAAGCAACAGCAATGTCCAGAGACAGATAAGTAAATTTGTTAAAATGTGGTATATACTGTTTAAAAACAAAATTCACCATCCCTGGTTGAGTAGCTTAGTCAGTTAGGGCATCATCCCAATGCCCCAAGCTTGTGGATTCAATTCCCAGTCAGGGCACATGTAAGAATCAACCAATGAATGCATTGGTTGATTGCAAGTCGTTTCTCTGTCTCTCTCTCCTTTTCTCTCTAAAATGTAAATAAAAATTGAAAAAAACATTATCTGAATAAATTTGGAAATCTCATTGGCTTTAATAAGTGATTAATGGATCGCAGCAACTGGGAGAGCACTGCAAGTGCGGTTGTACAAATGGAAGGTTTTTATCAACAGAAAGAGAGAGCCCTTCTTTTATTTCAAATTGTCTCAACCCATAATTTCATGGGCTCTTGTGGCATTCAGTTTTTCAGCCAATCTGGTCCTGTTTACTGTTGCCTTAGCAACCTCTTCCTACAGCCCCTCCCTACCTTCCAGTGATCTGATCAGACCTCTCTGCATCACTCTTACATCATATCCAGGTATTGGAACTGAATTGAATTGCAGACATTCAGCTGTGAATTGTAGGCAACTCATCTGACAGAATTGCTTGATATGTGACCCACCCCCACACATACATTTGGTGCTCAGAGTGTCAGAAGTGAAGTATTCTATAAGTA